GTGTGGAAACGCCTCGTCCGCTGCTCCAACACGGCTCCCGGCCCAGATGGCATTCGCTACGTGTCCTGGAAGAAGTTCGACATCGGTGCTCACATCCTCTCAACGCTCTTCAACACCATCCACCGACTTCGATGTGTACCGGCCACCTGGAACGAATCTGCGACGATCCTCATCCACAAGAAAGGAGACAAGACGGACGTTGGCAACTGGAGGCCCATCACCCTCTCTAACACGATTGCCAAGACCTACGCCTCATGCCTCTCCGCCCGTCTTGGATCCTGGGCAGCCCGCCACCAACGTGTCTCATCGTCGCAGAAAGGCTTCATGGCGGTCGACGGATGCGCCGAGCACAACTTCACACTCCAGACGGTGATCAATGACGCCCGAAGGACTCGCCAAACCGTAGCCATCTCGTGGCTGGACCTCACCAATGCCTTCGGCTCCGTCCCACACGAGATGCTCTTCGAGTCACTGAAGTTTGCTGGCCTCCACGACAACTCCATCGAGACGGTGAAGCGACTCTACTCCAACGCCTCCACCACGATCAGGAGCTCCGACGGACCAACCGATGCCATCCGAATCCAAGCCGGGGTGAAACAAGGGTGCCCACTCAGCCCCATTGTTTTCAACCTGGCCCTCGAACCGATGCTCCGTGCCCTACACGACCAACAGTGTGGGTACCAACTCAACGGACAACACATCGACGTACTCGCGTACGCCGATGACATCGCCCTCGTCGCCAAAAGCTCGGTTCGCCTACACGACATGCTCGATATGGTCACCACCGTCGCCTCCTGGTCTGGACTCGCCTTCAACGCCAAGAAGTGTGCTTCACTCGTCATCGATGGTCGCCAACACACCGCCCTTCCAGTGCCATTCAACATCCAAGCCAAGCCAATGGTCATGCTCAAAGAAGACGACACCTACGAACACCTCGGAGTACCCACGGGATACCACCGCGCCCCATCCGCCGAACTTGCCCTGCAGAAGATGACAAACCACATCGAGTCAATCGACAAATCTCTTCTTGCACCATGGCAGAAAGCTGATGCGGTCAACACGTTCGTACTCCCATGCCTCTCCTTCCATCTGAAGAACGGTGTCGTCCCAAAGGAGCCTCTGACCGAATTCGACAACAAGCTGAAGGCTCTCGGCAAGAAGTGGCTCAATCTCCCGTCACGTGGCAGCCCGGAAGTGGTCTACCTCTCCAATCAGATGGGTGGACTCGGCTTCCTTCAAATGAACCCGCTCGCTGATGTGTTCCAACTCGTCCACGCCCTCCGCCTGCTCTCCACGGCCAACATGCAGCCCATCGCCTATCCACAGCTCCGAGACGTGGTCAAGAAGAAGCTCCGTCGTGCCGCCTCCAACGAAGAACTTGCCGACTACCTCAATGGCCGACTCGATGGAGACTTTGCCCGAGCTTCTTCCGACCTCTCTTCGATGTGGTCTCGTCTCCGAGTGGCTACCCGTAGCCTCCACAAGTTCATGGCTGTGCAATGGGTGTGGCTCGTCGACCAACTCACGCTCCAACTGAACGGCTCCAACATCCCACCACGTACCGTCGAAACGACTCTCCGAAGTGCCATCCGCGACTACCATCTCCGCCAACTTCTCGCAAAGCCGGATCAAGGGAAGGTCTACACCGTCACCACGCTCTCCACTTCTTCCAACCACTTCATGCGTGACGGCTCCTTCACCCGCTTCGCTGACTGGCGCTTCCTTCACCGTGCCCGACTCGACTGCGTGCCACTCAACGGGACTCGACGCTTCGGTCCAGGCGACAGACGGTGCCGACGATGTGCTCATCCAAACGAAACTCTGCCCCATGTGCTGTGCCACTGCAACCCGCACATGGTTGCAATCACCCGCCGACACAATGCCATCGTCGACCGTCTCGTCAAAGCCCTCAAGCCGCCAGTCACAAGCCAAGTCCGACTCAACCAACACGTGCCCAACTTCGATGCGAAATTCCGGCCCGACATCTTGATCATCGACTCAACCTTCAAGACGGTGCAACTCATCGACGTCACGATGCCATTCGAGAACCGACCCGAAGCCTTCCAAGCCGCCCGCCAAGAAAAACAACGCAAGTACCAAACGATCGCCCAACACTTCGAAGCTCTCGGCTACTCGGTGATCCTCGACGCTTTCGTGGTCGGCCCGCTCGGTGGATGGGATCTCGCCAACGACGAACTCCTCAAGAAGCTTGGTGTTTCCTTCCGCTACGCACGTCTCATGAAGAAGCTGATGGTGTCGGATGCCGTGAAATGGAGCCGGGACATCTACGTCGAACACATCACTGGAACCCGCCAATACGACCCTTGAGTTCTTAGTCTTCTCTTCTTTCTTGCTTTCTTGTTGTCTTTCTCTTTTGTCTCCCCCTAGCCAAAATCATCCCTATCTTGCCTTGCGATCAAATATCTGTGATAATGCATCTCACATATCTCTCATATCTAACTTTCGTTCTGACTTTCATTTAGTCTTGTGTTTTCCTATAGGTTCATAACATTTATTGCTTTGTGCTCTAATGTTCTATATTCTACTCAACATTTTTATCTGTGCATACCTCTTCTCATGGTTTCCTAATTCACTAGGCCCATCTACTATTCCTCATTCAACCCGTTCTGTGTTTGCATATACCCTATGTTTTCTTAAATGTGGGTTCATACATTTCCTGTATTTTAATCCTTTGTGATAGACCGGCTGGGGTTTTGTACCATGCCCATCATGCACTGAAATAAACTTAATCTGTTCTTATCGGCTTAATAGGCTTTTGGACTCGTAAATCTCGGAGATACTTCAGAGCAATCTGTCGGTCGAGTGGAAGACGAAAGCCCATAGTTTTGGACTCATCAGTCTCGGAGAAGTTGTTGGCATTCAGAGAAGTTGTTGAGGCAGGTTCACCATTTTGCCAAATTCCAGCAAACGACCTCCACCGGCATTTCAGCGACGTGTTTGGACCGTCCCCACTAGTGGATCCGACCATTCCCGACTTCGTGCCAGAGCAAGAGGACAACCTAACCGGTGATGTTAACCCGTTTAACGAAATCTTTACAGCTCCGGAGGTTTGGTCTCGTCTCTCCCGATGCTCCAACACCGCGCCTGGTCCGGACCTCCTTCGCTACGCCGTGTGGAAGAAGTACGACAACGGTGCACACATCCTTGCCTCGCTCTTCAACGCTTGTCACCGACTACATCACGTGCCAGCGAAATGGAATCAATCCTCGACGGTGCTGCTCCACAAGAAGGGCGACAAAAGAGAAGTTAACAACTGGAGACCTATCTCCATGTCCAACACTATTTCAAAGGTTTACACTTCAACTTTAGCAAATCGTCTTGGGAAGTGGGCAAGCCGCCATGGACGTATCTCCAAATCGCAGAAGGGCTTCGTGGCAGCCGACGGATGTGCGGAACACAACTTCGTTCTCCAATCGACCATCGTGGACGCGCGACGGAACCGAAAACAAGTTTCAATGGCATGGCTTGACTTAACAAATGCCTTTGGTAGTGTTCCCCATCAATCCATTTTCAGTGCCCTCAAGTACGCCGGACTCAACAACACTGCCATCGAGGTCATCCGCCGTCTCTACGCCAACTGCTCCACAACCATCCGAAGCTCCACTGGTCCGACCAACGACATCCCAATTCAGGCAGGAGTAAAGCAGGGTTGCCCTTTGTCACCCATTATCTTTAATTTAACACTTGAGCCTCTTCTCCGAGCCATCTCCCAAGTCAACAACGGATACAAGATGCATGGACGAAATGTGGATGTGCTAGCCTACGCGGACGACCTTGCGGTAATCACAGGTACCCCAACCCAACTTCAGAAAACACTCGATGTCGTCTCCTCGGCAGCTGACTGGTTAGGGCTGAAGTTCAACTCGAAGAAGTGCGCCAGCCTCTGCATCGATGGGAAGAAGAAACAAGCGCTCAACAACCGACTACGAGTACAAGGGGAGTTTATAGCCGTCCACTCTGAGGACGACCTATATGAACACCTAGGCACACCAACCGGCTATCACTCCGCCCCCAGCGCTCAGAAGGTGATTGAGAAGATGACCGCCCAGCTCGACGCCCTCGACTCCTCGTTACTCGCTCCATGGCAGAAGGCCGACGCCATCAACACCTTTGTTTTACCGTGTATCTCTTTTCATCTAAAAAATGGTGTTGTAGCAAAAAAGCCACTTACAGCATTCGACAACAAGCTCAAGGCCGTCGCCAAGAAATGGATGAATCTGCCGGAACGCGCCAGTCCAGAAGTCCTCTACCTCTCCAGTCAGATGGGTGGTTTAGGTCTACAGAAAATTTCAGTTCTCGCGGATGTCTCCAAGCTTGTGCACGGCCTCCGACTACTCACCTCACCAGATGTCAAGGACTTCGCCGCAGCCTGCCTCCACGAGACGGTGACCAAACGACTTCGGAGGGCGATACGTAACGAACAAGAAATTACTCAGTATCTGAACGGTTCAATGGAAGGAGATTTCAGGCTTGAGTCCAGCGACATCACCAACATGTGGATCCGACTACGCAAAGCGAGTCGGTCGGTTCTCATCCCCACCACCTTTCCCTTTATCATTCTTTCGCGAACCGTATTAGTAGGGTTTGGAATAAGCTCCCGCCTGGTATCTTCTCGTCTGTAGGAAAATTCAAAGTATCTGTAAACGAATTAGATCTTATTGCCATGTCAAATCTGCCTTATATTTAATCTTTTTGTACTTTTTGTTTCCTAACTGTAGTCTTACTGTACTATTTTTAGTTTTCTTTTTGTGAAAGTATTGTAGCAATTATATGCGGTTATGATTATCTGATTCGCTTCTATTCGCCCTCCTGAATAAAGCATATATATATATATATATAATTGTCTTACTCGATGATAAACAACAATTGTCTTTTTACAATACAAAAGTTATTTGATTTGAAACTTTATCTTTTTACTTTTTACTTGGCAAACTTTTTACTTTAAAACTTAAGTTCAAATCGAATCTCAAGCTCGCAAAATGCGTGTCCAGCTTTACATCAACGCTGAAGAGCAAACCTCGCTCTACATTGAACCGTCGAAGACCAAAGCCGCTGATGTTCATCTGTATGAGAAAGGTAAGATTGTTGGAGAGTTTCCAAGAAGCCATGGTTTTTAATAATATAAGCATGAGTCATATACTAGAAAGATACTAGAAAAGTGCACAATCCTAGCATTACCAGAAGCCCCTGTAGCTTTAAAATCCAAAAAAACTTGATATTTTAAAATTTTTATTTTATTTTAGAGACGATTTGCGGGGAGACCGAGTTCGAGACGGGCTTTCAACTTTGGGCAAACGATGAAGGTAAGTTTTAACTGTTTTAACTGTTTTAACTAACTTTTAACTAAGTTTTAACTGTTTTAACTGTTTTAACCAAGTTTTAACTAACTTTTAACTAAGTTTTAACTTTTCCTACAATCGAAACTTAGTTCCAAAACAAAATGCCAACTTCTAGGTGAAGTAAATCACAAAGTGAAACTACATGTGATGTTGGGTGAAAATGATGAACAGGCAATGATGTGGATTGATTCGAGAAAGACCGAGATTGTCGAGATTCACTTCACGGAGACTGGTTTCCTTTCAACCAAGCCTTTCTAGTCAAAAGTCATATTTTAGAAAAGCGATGCTCGAACAAAACCCGCTTTGATTTATCGATTCGACTTCGATCAGCCAATGCTGCCAATGCAAAGCTAATGACCCAAGGTGTGAGCTTTTCAGGTAAGGTAAGCAGTAGAGTAAGGAAAGCAGTAGAGTAAGGAAAGCAGTAGAGTAAGGAAAGCAGAACATTAACCTATCACCATTTCAATTTGTTCTAACTTCAAATCAAATAGCTATCAAAATATCAAAAAACCTTTGTTTAGGGAATCAACCAATCCCTTCCTCGTCTCCTTTCACCAAAAACGGCTCATTCCGCGTCAGTTTCAACAATTCTTTTGACGAAAGAACTGTTGACCTTCTCGTTCATTCGAGTGATCGAATTGAGCAAGTCAAACATTCAATTGCACGGATTATTAATAAGAAATACGATGAGCTACGATTCATTTACGATAGTGAGTTTTAAAATATTACAAAGTGGGTAAACCCTCGGTTTTCATGCAGCTTTGAAAGATTCTAACTGACTCCATTTCCAGGCAAACAACTCGAGGATGGCCATACTATCTCCGACTACAATATTCAGAAAGACTCATTGATTCGTATCATTTATCGCCTTTGTGGTTGCTAGTTGTAAGTCCAACTTTGCTCATATTTGATTCACAGGAAATTCCGATATTTTTATTGTGTTTTATTCTAAAACCTTGACATTGCCATTCTAAAACCTTGACATTCTAAAACCATGACATTCTAAAACCATGACATTCTAAAACCATGACATTCTAAAACATTGCCAAATTCTTTTCCGGGTTGTATATCATTGAGCGTTTTGAATAAATTTTTGTACAAAAGTAAAATGATCACTCAAAGAACGCCAATTCCTCAAGGTTTTGCCTGTTGTTTACAAATAGTCATTTTAAAATCCACGCAGAACATCCCTCCTTTTGTAGAAACATTGGGTCTGTCTTGTCTGTGTGTTGAAAGTGTCTAAAATTCATTTTCCTTGTAGCCTTAAATCCGATCTCTCTCTCCGATCTTTTATCTTGTTTATTCCTTTTTGATGGGAAGATGGATTGATAGTGTTTTGATCAGTGGCTTAAATGACGGTGTAGTCGGGAATTTGCTTCCATTATAATAAGGCAATGAATGGTTCTGGAATAGACATAAGTTCTGGAATAGACAAAGAGTTATTCTCAATTTAACTACACAAAACAATGAGCGTCAACGTGGTTTCCACGGTTCGGCCCCTTCTTCGTGTGGCTGTTCGTGTGGCTGTTCGTGCAGTGCAACCGAATGCACGCTCATTGTCATTGTCCCGGTCGGCTTATCCAAAAATTCAGTGCTCTATTCATAGAATTTCTATTTGGCTAAGCTGAAATTTGTTTGAAAGTTCAAAACTCACTCACATTACGAATTCACAAGAATCCGTGAAGAGAGTTTCATTTTCTGACATTTTCTGACAGCGATTCAAATGAATCGAATCACAAAACCACAAAAGCTCTTCCAGCTTTTCCAAAAATCGAAAGCTTTCAGTCTGAAGCAGAATTTCCCAGCGAGCGTTTGTTGTATTGCTTCTACTGTCTCGGTTGGTGTATTGCTTCTACTGTCTCTGTCTTCTACTGTCTGCTTCTACAGTTCAATGGTTTGCAAATTGGCAGTAAAATGAGGGACATTAGCGTTGAAACCCTAAAGAGTGAAACTACAAGATCTCTTCGGTAGTACGTTGAATGCCTTAAATTATAAAAAATCAGAAAAACCTTCAATTGTAGCCAGACAACATGGGTCCTTTGTTGAAGTATAAGTATATACTCAGAACTAATCATCGCTTCTTTTTATCGTCAGTGCAACGATCGGCTGGCCCGCTTTCCTACGTGGTACAATTTTTTCGTTCCATTCGAGTCTTGGAGTGAGCTGTCTTTCCGTTTTGTTCAACATTGTTGTTGCTTTCATTGAAATGGCAAGTGGACCGGCGGATAACAGCAATCTCTCGCAGATCTCTATCGATCCAACGGAGCTTATGATTCGGATTCCGGTCATGGGTGTGGTGAGTCTGTTTGAAAAAAGCTATTAGTATTAAGTTGGTGCCGAGTGCTCAAGCGGAATGAACCGAACGATGGAATAGGTCTACCAATAGGAATAGGTCTACCAATAGGAATAGGTCTACCAATAGGAATAGGTCTACGAATAGGAATAGGTCTACCAATAGGAAGAGGTCACTTGGAGGCTAATTGTTTAGTAGGAAAGAGTGAACTTTTTGCTGCTTGTACTTTGTTAAACTTTAATCTGAGACAGACAGGATTCTGGCCCTGAGCCAACTTTTTACCCAATTGCCTCAATTATTTTATATGAAGAAAAGAGTTGATTTGCTAAACTAGCGGACTTGGAATGAATTTCCAAGGAATAGCTCTTTTAGTTGGGCATTCTCGCAATCGTGTTCGCGGTCACCGGAATGATCGTCGTAAAGAAGAACCCGTTTCTCGCAGGTTTGTGAACTGAACAGGCTTTCAAGCTCTAGGCTTTCAAGCTCTAGACTTTCAAGCTCTAGGCTTTCAAGCTCTAGGCTTTCAAGCGGAAATTTTTTCCTGAATGCTTTCAGCTCTGATCTATTCTTCGCCGTCGTCGCATTGGGATTCACCCCAAAGGTTATTCGGTGAATTCCCTATATGAACGAGAGAAATCTAGCTTTTCCTTGGAGTGAACCGAATGATGGCTCTGGCGTTTAGTGGAATGTATTATCGATTTTTCGAGAGGACGAGCGCCGTTCAGTATTGTCTGATGGCCGTTCACCCGTCGACGATTCTCACACTGATGTGGGCTCGTTGGTTGTTCCTTTGAGGTCGCTGAAAATTCTCCGTTTCAGTGAACTGTCACGCGACTTTCGACTCAACGACACTCGCCTTTTCCGCTCAGGCGCCGTGTAGTCGGACGATGATTACGTGGCTGAATGTGAGTGTTTCTGGACAGGAAACGAAGGAACTTTGAGCTCAATTTTCGCCGACCTCTTCATCAGATAGGAAAGCTAGCTCAATGACTAATCATCGACCTCAAAGTCGAGCATTGTCAAATTCCCTAATCTTCTTTAATATAAGAATCTAGAACGTTAAATTGAAGTGATTGGGAAAAATCTGACTTGTGGTTTCTCGCATCTTGATTAGAGGATTGATTAGAGGAAGCCAATGCTAATGCATGACAATGAAAGCGTTAGCGTTTAGCGTTAGCGTTTAGCGTTAGCGTTTAGCGTTACTTTGGCTACGTGTGTACTGGGTTCATTCTCTTCTTGGACGTCATATTTCTGATGATGGTCCGGCGACGGATGAAACGCCTGCACGATGTGAATAGCCAACGGAAACAGGATGATTTCAAGAAGGAGTTCCGATTGGCGACACAGGTAAGCCCATCGACTGTAAGACAGGTAAGGCTGACTGTAAGACAGGTAAGCCTGACTCTAAGACAGGTAAGTCTGGCTGTAAGACAAGTAAGCCCATCGACTAGTCGACTTTCGGCTCTATCGACTAGTCGACCAATTCAGAAAGCATCATTTCGAAGATCGTCAGTATCGATGGAAACGAAATGTCGTATACTCAGTACGAAACGCTCCGTTTTCATCGATTATAACGATCTTTTGAAGTGGTGTTTGGTATAATTGGCCGGCACAGGTAAGCCCATCGACTAGTCGACTTTCGATACCGTGACTTTAATGAATCAATAATCATTTTCTATTTCACAGATGGTGATCAACTCGGCGAATGTGGTCGTGAATGCCTCGCTGGCTTTGGCTGGCGGTTTCGGGTTTCGATTCGCGACGCCTCTCTCCTCATGGATCGCGTCAGTGGCCCGGTGGCAAGCTGTTTGCATCGTAGCCGGGTAGGATTTTGTAATAGCGAGATATGATGGTTTATCATTTTTCACACTTCTCAGATTGGTAACAAAAATTCCGCAGCTTTCTAGTAATCTTGTAGCACTTGTGAAAGACAATCAGCACAGTGAAAGACAATCTATCCGGTTATCTGGAGCTTTCTGCGGGATAAATGCTTTCCAATTGTTTTTAAACAATGTAGTATGATTGCTAGATTGAATATTAAATATTAAAATTTCAGTCTCTCTTATACGATTCTTCTACGGGATCAAAAAAGGAGCCAACCAACGGTGGCCTCGGTTTTGACGAGTCCTCGATCGACCACAAAACCCATTGCATTGACATGAATTTGATAAATTTATCAATTTAGCTTGTGTGCATTGTAGCCTTTATTCATACACTACTAATACTAAAGCTAGCCTTTGTTGTAGGAGAGCCGAGTCGAAGGCCATGGAAGGCGAACGAGGGCACATTGGGGCGCATGGTAAAATATCTGTCTACTGTTCTGTCGTGGGTTGGGGCTTTTTGGTCAGTTTGGCCGAATCTCGCGACAGTGCCAATGGGCTGAGTTCGATTTTCTTTCGGCAGTGCACCAAGTAATAATAAAAGGAGGAGGAGAAGGAGCGGCATCCAGACTTCTGAATTCTCACGGAACACCAGCTTCAGACTGCCATTTATTTCGAGCTCTTGATTCAAGGGTTTCGTCGCCTTGTTTCGTTCGAGCTCCTTATCTCTCTAACTCTGGTTCCTTATCTCTCTAAATTTGGTTCCCTATCTCTTTAAATCTGCCTTGTCGGTAATGGCCAGAGTTACGTGTGAGGGTTTTTTGATTTTTTTTTCTCGAAAACTACTTTGAAAACTAGGAAAAAATAGAACGGCATGCTCAGTTACAGTATTTACGGTGGTTCTACTCATCATCTAAAGTTTCAAATCAAATTCTATCAAATTCTATCAAATTCTATCAAATTCAGGTTCTCGAGTTCTCGGTGATTGGACACATGCAGACATGCACGATGATGCTATTCTTTCTTCGACTTCAATTCATCGCACCCGACGGTCACCCGCTGAAGATTGGGAAAGGGTAGGCTTATTTGTCGCAAAATTTTCGACTGGGAGCGTGCTTTATCAAGCACTCTTATATCAAGCTTTATCAGTTTTAGCAGACATTCTTTGGTTTCTAAGACATTCGAGCCTTGATTTTAGCTATAAATTCTCTTTGAATCTAATTGCATATGGAAACCTCACTATTTTAGAATCCAAAAAAGAAGAATGCCTGAAGTTTTTCTACGATAAACTTTTTTTTGTTCCATTGACGAAGCCGAGAAATTGGTTAATAAATGTATTAAAGTATTATTAAAGTGAAATAAAAGTCAAATTCGTTCGACAATTTGTATAAAAACATTGTGAATGCTTCGAAAGCTTTGTTTCACCGGCGAAATTCAGAAAAAAAAGTGACTTATAACTGCGTGATATGTGCCAGAACTAATCTCGAGAGCTAAGGGACCGCAATGATCTAGTTGACATTGACATTGACATTCAATTCAGTCGTTTCTAGTCTTTAAATCTTTATAGCTTCTTGCTTGATCAATAAAATCATTCAGCTATATTCGAGGGAAAATTACAGAGTCTTAAATTACGATAAACTAGCATTAAATGATCAAGAAAGATCTGATTGATATCCAATTCAGCTGGCATAGAAAATCACCGTGATTTTTGAGCTTTGAGACACGTTTTTTTTTTGCAGGTCAATAATGTTGTGTGTGCCTTTTGAAAAGAGAAGAGAACAAGATGGGGGTGGTCCATAAACAAACTGTAAAATTATTTCCTTTTCTTTATAATTTTTTATAATATAATTCTTTATAAAGCAAGGAAAATTTTCTACTCTCGGGGATGGGTGTTTGGTGGGTGAGAGCGCCGAGAGCCGAGGACCACCCATCTTGTTCCCTTCTCTCCCCTTCTCTTCTCTTTCCTTCTCTTCCCTCCTCTTCCCTTCTCTTCTCTTCTCCTCTCTTCTCTTCTCTTCCCTTCCCTTCTCTTCCCTTCTCTTCGCTTCTCTTCCCTTCTCTTCTCCTCTCTTCTCTTCTCTTCTCCTCTCTTCTCTTCTCTTCTCTTCTCTTCTCTTCTCTTCGCTTCTCTTCCTTTCTCTTCCCTTCTCTTCTCTTCCCTTGTCTTCCCTTGTCTTCCCTTCTCTTCTCTTCCCTTCTCTTCCCTTCCCTTCTCTTCCCTTCCCTTCCCTTGTCTTCCCTTGTCTTCCCTTCTCTCCTCTCCTCTCCTCTCTTCACTCTCACCCACCAAACATCCATCCCCGAGAGTAGAAAATTTTCCAAAAAAATTTTTAAAATTTATATTTTGTTTATCTTTGTTTCATTTATAACTTAAATTTATAAAAAAATATAGAAAATAATAAAAAAACCTGTTGAATGGCAGCTGTTGTAGTCGTTGGTCTTGATATTCTTGATAGACGGAATTATGGATGCTCACAAGTACAAGAACATATTGGAGACTCAAATGCTCCTTGATTGCTCCTTGATCATGTACTTTGTGCTCGTCAACGGAAACGTCAACGGAAACGTCAACGGAAACGGAAACGGAAACGAGTCTCCAATATGTTCTCGTACTTGTGAGCATCCATAATTCCGTCTATCAAGACTCAAATGCTCCTTGATTGCTCCTTGATCAACGACTACAACAGCTGCCATTCAAAAAAATTTTTTGATTATTTTGTATAAATTCAAGTTATAAATCAAAAAAGTTAAATAAAATATCAAATTAAAAAAATTTTTTGAAAATTTTAGACTCTCGGAGATGGGTGAGAGCGCTGAGAGGCGAGGACCACCCATCATGTTCTCCTCTTTTCAAAGCCCACACACAAATGGGGATGGGCGTTTGGTGGGTGAGAGCGCTGAGAGACGAGGGCCACCCATCATGTTCTCTTTTGGAAAGCCGCACACAGCAGAACAAAGTGGGTGCTCTTCGCCTCTCGGCGCTCTTACCCAACAAACACCCATTCCCAAGAGTCGAAAATTTTCAAAAATTTGTTGAATGGCAGCTGTTGTAGTCGTTAGTCTTGATAGGATGGATATTATGGATGCTCACAAGCACAAGAACATATTGGAGACTCAAATGATCATCCAGAGATCTCAACAGATCATCCAGACCTGTGGACATTCATTAAAGAAATTCGAGGATTTTAACAAAAAATTGACAACAAGTTGGTTGAATACAATCAAAACGGCGTCAAGAAGACAGGTTTAAAAAAATGGACGCACAAAAGGCTTTATGCGAGCGTTGGGATGAATTTGTTGATGGGTTAGAAGATTTGACTGAGATTGCAAAAACTCTTTTGAAAGTTTGCATTTTTTAATTAGCTTCATTAGCTTTAACGCTTCACTTTAACGTTAAAGTTTGTTTTTTGCTCGATTTATATTTTGATTTACTTTGTTATGATGGTTATTAAGATTTTGATCAAAAACATTGATAAACTTTTGTACTCAATTTGTAATGTTGTACCAGTGTTGATTGGATTGGAAGGTCGACATTGACACTGAGTGTATTGGACAGTCAAATCAAACGTTGACAGTCAAATCAAACGTTGATAGTAAAATCAAATGTTGACAGTCAAATCAAATGTTGACAGTCAAATCAAATGTTGACAGTCAAATCAAATGTTGACAGTCAAATCAAACCTTGACAGTCAAATCAAATGTTGACAGTAAAATCAAACCTTGACAGTTAAATCAAATGTTGAGAGTCAAATCAAATGTTGATAGTAAAATCAAAAGTTGACAGTCAAATCAAATGTTGACAGTAAAATCAAAAGTTGACAGTCAAATCAAATGTTGACAGTCAAATCAAACCTTGACAGTCAAATCAAACGTTGATAGTAAAATCAAACGTTGACAGTCAAATCAAACGTTGACAGTAAAATCAAACCTTGACAGTCAAATCAAACGTTGACAGTCAAATCAAATGTTGACAAAAATCAAACATTGACAGTAAAATCAAAATTTCCGGCGAAATGGGGGAGAAACCCGGTAAAAAGTGACCGTGACATTTTGGCACCAAAATATCGAATTTTGTCGAAGTCGAAAAGCACAAGTCGAATACGGTAAACTAGTGAAGAAAAAAAAGGGTGGCTAAAGCTATTTTGCGAGTTCTGTGAGAGGCGGTAATGGACTCAATTGAAGTCGATGAAGGAGACGAAAAAAACGAACCGATGACAAGCAATAGGAAAAACGTGTGAGGTTTGTGGTTGGGCATCGGTTGTGATTGATGGAGGAGTTTCTGACGACACAAACATTCCACCACACTCATGCACCATTTGATAGGATCGTGGCTGATTTGGAGTACCTGGAAATTATTCTAGAAAGATCTTCTTTTTCTAGAAAGATCATCTTCTTCTAGAAAGATCATCTTCTTCTAGAAAAATCATCTTTTTCCATATCAAACCATGTCGATGACAGTACATTGGCACAAATCCCAAAAGCAGCGAGTAGCTTGACGAGAGTTGCAGTCAATTGATCGACAGAATTTCAAGGACCACCAAAGCCTCTAACAAGCTATTCCAGTCAGTCTGTACACATTGTCAATATTCGACCGGGTACGACTTCTATTGTACAACTGCTTGCCGCACATCGGCGCGAAATAAGGCAAAAATGCGTTTTCTATCAGATTTTTCTGGGAGTACCTTTTTTAGATGCGGAAAATTGTGCTGATTCCGAATCTGAAGGAATTTTTCAAATCCCTCTGGCAGAAATTTTTTAAATTTAGGTTTAGCGGTTTTTTGGTCATTTTGTATGGGAAATTTTGTGGTACCCTGCAGTTTAGGGCTCGTAACTCGACAACGAGGGTCTAGAACCAAAAACGAAGGGATTAGTTTTATTCTAAAGACTCTTACGAACATTTTGATGCAAAAATCATCAAATTTGCTTTTTTTTTTGTCATCGTCATGACGTGTTCTTTTTTTCGCACCTTCGCCTTTAAGCAATTCGTCAAGCACGTCAAGCACGTCAAGCACGTCAAGCACGTCAAGCACGTCAAGCACGTCAAGCACGTCAAGCACGTCAAGCACGTCAAGCACGTCAAGCACGTCAAGCACGTCAAGCACGTCAAGCACGTCAAGCACGTCAAGCACGTCAAGCACGTCAAGCACGTCAAGCACGTCAAGCACGTCAAGCACGTCAAGCACGTCAAGCACGTCAAGCACGTCAAGCACGTCAAGCACGTCAAGCACGTCAAGCACGTCAAGCACGTCAAGCACGTCAAGCACGTCAAGTACCTCAAGCACGTCAAGCACGTCAAGCACGTCAAGCACGTCAAGCACGTCAAGCACGTCAAGTACCTCAAGCACGTCAAGTACCTCAAGCACGTCAAGTACCTCAAGCACGTCAAGCACGTCAAGTACCTCAAGCACGTCAAGCACGTCAAGCACGTCAAGCACGTCAAGCACGTCAAGCACGTCAAGCACGTCAAGCACGTCAAGTACCTCAAGCACGTCAAGCACGTCAAGCACGTCAAGCACGTCAAGCACGTCAAGCACGTCAAGTACCTCAAGCACGTCAAGTACCTCAAGCACGTCAAGTACCTCAAGCACGTAATCACATTTTATCAGCAATTTACAGAAACGATAAACTCCTTAAATTATTGTCCGTTTCCTGTCATCAATTTGCGGCTAACAGTTTTGTGAAATTTGTGTATTCTTTTTCGCTTCTTTTGCCAAATACAAAAATTTTTTATTCACTTTCTTACACAAAATATGATTTATTTTATATTAATAAACTTTGATTTTCATTTGAAAGGCCTCGAGTTTTACAGAGAAAACGGGCAAATGTGTATGATGGATTGGTAAAATCCCAAAATTTCTCATTACAAGATTCATCGTTGCTCATCTTAAAGAGAAATGTTTCAAATAAAAGCACAACACTTACCAGCCATGGATATTGATCTCCCCCAAAGGAGGGATGGGCTCCAATATAATCGTCTTTTGATCCATCCGTCCAATAGCCTGTTCCGAGCGTTCCATTCCCATTATAGCCAATCCAGACACGTTGATAGTAACAAGGAATTTGATCGGGAGCCGCATAGATCAGATCGCTCACATTTGACGAGATCAGTTCTAAAAGTAAATAAACGGAGTTGTGTTCAATTGAATTGAAAAGCTGAATCGCTTTGTGGAGAAGCTGAATCGCTTTGTGGAGAAGCTGAATCGCTTTTTGGAGAAGCTGAATCGCTTTTTGGAGAAGCTGAATCGCTTTGTTTCAGCTGAATCGCTTTGTGGAGAAGCTGAATCGCTTTGTGGAGAAGCTGAATCGCTTTGTTTCAGCTGAATCGCTTTGTGGAGAAGCTGAATCGCTTTGTGGAGAAGCTGAATCGCTTTGTTTCAGCTGAATCGCTTTGTGGAGAAGCTGAATCGCTTTGTTTCAGCTGAATCGCTTTGTTTCAGCTGAATCGCTTTGTTTCAGCTGCATCGCTTTGTCAACAAATTGAAAAGTTTATAATTATGATGGGTAAGACACATAAAACCTCTCTTCTAGTCAAGGGAATACATCCAGTGGTTGTCGGGTAACCAATTAATATTAAATGTATTAAATGATCAAGAAAGATCTGATTGATATGATTCAGCTGTTTCTAGTCTTTAAATCTTTGTAGCTTCTTACTTGATCAGTAAAATCATTCAGCTATCTTCGAGAGGAAATGACAGAATCCTGTAAACTAGCATTAAATGATCAGACATTAAATGATCAGACATTAAATGATTAGGCATTAAATGATCACTGGCATTAAATGATCAAGCACTGGCATTAAATGATATCCAATTCAGCCATTACAAGTCTCAAAATCATCAAAGCTTCAAAATTGATCAGTAAAATCATTCAGCTAATCCAGAAATTAGCAAAATCCCAGTTTACAGTAGACTAGCATTAAATGATCAAGAAAGATCTGATTGCTATCCAATTCAGCTGTTTCTAGTCTCTAAATCTTCACAGCTTCTTGCTTGATCAGTAAAATCCTTCAGTTATATTCAAAGGGAAATGACAGCGTCTCAGTTTACAGTAAACTAGCGTTAAATGATCAAGAAACATTTGATTGATGTCCAATTCAGCCATTCCATATCTCGAAATCATCAAACGTTCAAAATTGTTCAGCAAAACCATCCAGCTACTCCAGAAATCAGTAAAATCAGTTCAGTTCACGGTAACGATTTGAAATGACCCCAAAAATAGGGAAAATTTGCCCAAACTGCTTTTAAAATATTAAAAAATTTGAAAGTTCAAACCAAAAACAAAATCATCCTCCGGTTTCGAGTGAATCGAGACCAAATTTGCTCCCATTCGTTGACAACTCGTGTTGGCAGCCAGCCAGTTATAGAGTTTCCAACGGCTACCTTCTAAGGTGAAATTCTGAAAGAAAATTTTAGAAGAGCTATTTTCTCCGTAACCTGTAAATAGTAGCAAAAAGTTGTATTCGAATTGTACACCCAACCATTCGAGCAACGGGGATCTGGTTGAGAAGTGCTCTTGATAGTAGTGATTGGATTATTCGTAGACAGTGAGGCTAAAAATGAGGTAAGGTAGTGAGGCAGTGAGGCTAAAAATGAGGTAAGGTAGTCGGGCAGTGAGGCTAAAAATGAGCTAAGCTAGTGAGGCTAAAAATGAGGTAAGGCAGTGAGGCTAAAAATGAGGTAAGGCAGTGAGTCAGTGAGGCTAAAAATGAGGTAAGGCAGTGAGGCTAAAAATGAGGTAAGGCAGTGAGTCAGTGAGGCTAAAAATGAGGTAAGGCAGTGAGGCTAAAAATGAGGTAAGGCAGTGAGTCAGTGAGGCTAAAAATGAGGTAAGGCAGTGAGGCTAAAAATGAGGTAAGGCAGTGAGTCAGTGAGGCTAAAAATGAGGTAAGGCAGTGAGGCTAAAAATGAGGTAAGGCAGTGAGTCAGTGAGGCTAAAAATGAGGTAAGGTAGTGAGGCTAAAAATGAGGTAAGGCAGTGAGTCAGTGAGGCTAAAAATGAGGTAAGGCAGTGAGGCTAAAAATGAGGTAAGGCAGTGAGTCAGTGAGGCTAAAAATGAGGTAAGGTAGTGAGGCAGTGAGGCTAAAAATGAGCTAAGGCAATGAGGCAGTGATGCTAAAATCATCCAACCCACCACATGATGGCGTTTTGCAGACGAAACGTGGATATTGTCCATAGGGGGGAGACCAAGTCCAAAAGTTCGAGCCACACGGTACATCATTCCTCATCGTTAACGAGCGATCATTTAAAAGACTCTCTCACGTAGCAACTTACCATCCATGCAAAAGGATCCGAACCGGGATAGCCTGCAAAATAGTCATCTCTCGATCCATCGGTCCAATTTCCTGTCCCAAGCGTTCCATTCCCATAATAACCAATCCACACCCATGGTGCGACGTCACAGAAATATCCGGCATCGAGCACATTCGAGGAGATCAACTCTGAAGATCATGGATTGAAGACCTTGGAAAAACTCAAACCATAGACAAATTGATCCTCATCTTTTGAGTGAATGGAGACCAAATGTGCCCCCATTTGTTGACAAAGCGACTCAGCTTCCGTCCAGTTGCGAGTTTCAAGAGAAACGTTATTCACGAAAGTAAAATTCTAAGAAAAACCCATAAACCCATAAATACTCACTCAAACCAACCTGTAAATAGTAGTAAAAGGTTGTATTCGGATTGTACACCCAACCATCCGGACAAACAGCTGAAGGAGTCGTAGTGATCGGAGTCGTGATGCTCGGAGTCTTGCTTGTCGTTGAGGCTGAACTCAAAGACTACAGTAGGGGTCATAACTTTGGACACACCTCGCGCGTTAAACTATAATTTGTTCGTTCTTTTTGCTAATAAGAGCTTTTTTCTACCGAAATCGACTATTTTATACAGTTTTTATCCCTTTTTTTGTATTTCTGCATGAATTTGGCTTTTACTTTCATTCTCATGTATTTTTGAGCTACTTTACCCGAGACACCCACTTTCTAGGGGGTCATAACTTTGGACACGCTTTAGAAAACGGCCAATTTATTCAAAATTAACAATGAATAACTAATATTTCGTTGCAAAACCTTTAGCGGTAATGACTGCTGCACAACGCTGTGGCATCGAATTGATCAATTTGTCGATAGTGGCCTGAGGAATTTTGGCCCATTCATCTTTAAGCGCGGCGACGAGTTCGGTGGTTTTTGTGAATGTTCGTGTCCGAATGCGTCGATCCAATTCCGCCCAAAGATGCTCAATAGGGTTGAGATCCGGACTTTGGGCCGGCCATTCCAAGACTTCGACGTTTGATTGTTGAAACCATTGAGAAACAAGTCGAGCCTTATGCTTCGGATCATTGTCTTGCATGAACAAACAATCGGAGTCCAAATTTTGTTGAGCAAACGGAAGCATTTCTTGATCCAAAATGTCTCGATAGCTTACAGCATTCATTATTCCGTTGATTTCGACAAGTGGACCAACACCGCTAAGCGAAAGCAACCTAAACTTATTCATTTTTTTAAGTTAAGTGAAGCTTATACCCCACGTCATGACCGAACCGCCACCGTGCTTAATCGTGGGCACTTGATACTTTGAATCGTTTCTCTTATTTGCTGGACGTCGGATATAACGAATTCCATCGCTTGAAAACAAGTTAAACTTAGTTTCATCACTCCATAAAACGCGACCCCAATCCGCCACTGACCAGTTCTGATGTTTCCTCGCAAATTCGAGACGAGGTTTAAGATTTTTCTTTGAAATCAGCGGTTTTCGTGAAGGGCGTGCTCCTTTAAGTCCCTTAGATCTAAAATTCTGATATAAATGCATCATTACATCAAAATAAACCTCAGAATTCGTTGAGCTGTACTCTTAGAGATGGTGAGCCCATGGTATTGGTGAGCCCATGGTATTGGTGAGCCCAGGGTATTGGTGAGCCCATGGTATTGGTGAGCCCATGGTATTGGTGAGCCCATGGTATTGGTGAGCCCATGGTATTGGTGAGCCCATGGTATTGGTGAGCCTCTCGACGAAGATCGCTTGACGTCTTTCTCGGATCTTTCTTCACTGATCGAACCAAAGCAGTGGCAGTTCTTGGGGGAACTTTTGGTCGTGGTCCTCCACCAATTTTCCGTTCTATCGATCCTGTTTCTTTCCATTTGCGGTAGACCTTAGCAGCCGCCGAAAACGTGATTCCAAACATCTCTGCAGCATCCCTAGACGACATTCCTTGACACATATTGGCTACCAAACGTTCCTTCAAGTCGTTACACAAGATTTTCTTTGATGGCATCTAAAGAAAACCATGTATTCAACAAGTGTGTCCAAAGTTATGACCCCCTAGAAAGTGGGTGTCTCGGGTAAAGTAGCTCAAAAATACATGAGAATGAAAGTAAAAGCCAAATTCATGCAGAAATACAAAAAAAGGGATAAAAACTGTATAAAATAGTCGATTTCGGTAGAAAAAAGCTCTTATTAGCAAAAAGAACGAACAAATTATAGTTTAACACGCGAGGTGTGTCCAAAGTTATGACCCCTACTGTATGTAGGAAACGAGGAATCTATTTTAAAAAAACATTAAAAACTCTATAAATTCCCTACCCGATCCCTGAATTGAGCAAAAAAACGGTCTCTCCATCTCGCATTCATCTGAATGCCATTTTCCAGTTGATGGATTCATGATAGTACACGGCCCTGTCGACTTTGGTTCATCTATTCATCATTTATTGAAAACTTTGATAGATTAAAAGAAACTCTTTGCCCAATTATGATATGTAAGCGGTGTATCGTCGGAATATGTCCACGTATTGTTGGCTCTTCTTTCGATTCCAATGTAAGAAGTGCTCTCGCTCAATTCTACAGAAAAAAATTAGATTGATTATTTATTTAAACCTTATTATTAAGCCTTTAGACCTGTTAAACTGTTAAACCTTCGACTCTAAAGATATTAGCAAGCTATTAGATTACAGCTAACGATTCTAGCAAGCTATTAGATTACAGCTAACGATTCTAGCAAGCTATTAGATTACAGCTAACGATTCTAGCAAGCTATTAGATTACAGCTAACGATTCTAGCAAGCTATTAGATTCCAGCTAACGATTCTAGCAAGCTACTAGATTACAGCTAAAGAAATTTTAAAAAGGGCTGCTACGCAGGAGTACGCGATGGTCCTTTACCCGGTCTTTTATTCGAAGAAATACGGTATATTCGAATGGGAAAATGACAGAATCCCAGTTTATGGTAAACTAGCATTAAATGATCAAGAAAGATCTGATTGAAATCCAAGCATTCGGTCGTTGTGTAACTAAAAACTAATACTAACCGTATTGGAACCGTATTGGAACCGTATTGGAACCGTATTGGAACCGTATTGGAACTGTATTGGAACCGTATTGGAACCGTATTGGAACCGTATTGGAACCGTATTGGAGACATATTGGAAACATATTGGGACCGTATTGGAACCGTATTGGAACTGTATTGGAACCGTATTGGAACCGTATTGGATCAAAATAGGAACTGTATTGGAACTGTATTGGAACCGTATTGGATCAAAATAGGAACTGTATTGGAACCGTATTCGAACCGTATTAGATCAAAATTATCATTTGCTGGTCCCTTCCCTCGTTAGAAATTCCGCCTCTAGGTAGTGGCGTAGAAGTACCTCTAGGTACTTCATGTACCTCTCGGTACTATGTAATGCCTCTTATAATGGCCATATAACGGGTAACAACGTTCTATAAAGTTCTTCTAAATAACGAATTGAGTATGCTGTTCAATTTACAGCTCACATTATTCAATATAAGAACTAGAAATATAAGGCTGTTTCCTGAAAATACCAATTTCAACGACCCACCCTCTCCAATCATTGCCAACAAAAAGGCATTCTCGTAAAGATTCTCAATTTTGACTGGAATTCCACCGAATTGAGCACAATATCGAATCACATCAAAATACGATTTAGCTAATGATGAAATGTTGAAAGAAAAGAAAGAAAAGAAAGAAAAGAAAGAAATCTCACCAACCATCTCTCACAGCAATCAAACATTTCTCTCCAGATCCAAATGGTTCACTTCCATGGGGACAATTCGACCCTTTCACATTTAGAAATAAAATTGAAAGAAGAAAAAGAAGAAAAATTGACTTTAAAAGAGATAGCATGAGTCTAGAAATGGAAAAATCTTATCAAAAATCGATTCAAAGAAAGAGAAGATTTTTGACGTGTCCTGTCTATCAGAGACATCAGAGACGCGAACGTTTCCGGGTAAAAGCTTTTAATTTACCGGCTACCAGCATTGTTTCATTGCCAGCATTCATTTTTCATTACCAGCAGATTACATTGTTTTACATTGTTTTTTTATTGGGTAAAAAAACATATTGCAATTTACGGTAAACCAACATTGAGCAAGAATTAAATGAGCAAGAAAGATATCATTGATATCCAATTCAGCCACCATTCCATATCTCAAAAGCACCAAAGCAAAATTCATCGGTTAATTCATCCAGTTATATTCGAGGAAGACCGATAGAGGCTCAGTCTTGCGATAAACCAGCATTAAATGAGCAAGAAAGATTTGATTGATATCCAATTCAGCTGTTTCTAGTCTTTGAATCTTAGCAACTTCTTTCTTGGTCAATAAAATCATCTACCGTATTTCCTCTAATAAACGCCCCCCCCCCTTGACCAACTTTGGACGCTTCGTTCTCAGCTCCATTTGGAGATATTTTTATGTTTAATATATCAAAAGATAGAAGACATTAAGGGCTATCTTTTGATATATTAAACATAAAAATACCTCAAAATGGGGCTGAGAACGAAGCGTCCAAAGTTGGTTAAGGGGGGCGTTTATTAGAGGAAATACGGTAGCTACAGTAGCGGACAAAGACTTAGCATAATTTAGTTTTTTTATAATAAAACTCGCTGTTTGTGCAATATTTACCTAAAACTTCGAAATATAATAATAAAACTTGATGTTTTAACAAAAACAATTGGTATTTAGCCAAATAGACTTTCAGAAAAAAATTTTGAAGATTTTTATACAAAACTGGTGCGACAAAGACTTAGCATAATTTTGCATTTCCCAGTAATTTTAATTATTTTTCTGTGTTTTTTTTTCTTAATTTGAGCTATAATTTGATTGAAATTTATTATTTTATTAATTTCAGTCAATGGGTCGCAAGAAACAACTCCAGCCTGCTATTCGGGATACGATTGTGGCTCTTCATCAAGCCGGTGAGAGACAGGATCGAATTGCTACCATTCTGAGGGTGCACCAGTCGACCGTTTCGAGAATTTTGAAGCTTTTCAAGACAAAAGGAAGCACAATTGCAAAAAAGAATGTTGGTTTCTCACGGAAAACAACTACTCGAGATGATAACAGGATTCAAACCTTATCAAAAAGCAATCCTCAGAAGCCTGCAACTGAGATCTACAAAGATTTACCAACTTCTTTGAAAGATAAGATCACTCCGCGAACGGTGCAATGTCGTCTAAACGCTAAAGGACTATTCGGGAGACGTCCTGCCAAGAAACCATTGATTTCAGCAAAAAATCGGAAAGCCCGAGTGAAGTTTGCTAAGGAGCATCAAGGGTGGACTCTTCAGCAGTGGAAAGATTGCTTGTTCACTGATGAAAGCAAGTTTTCCCTACTTGGTTCTGATGGAATTCAGTATATTCGACGTCCAGTTAACCAAAGATACAATAAAAACTACATTCTCCCTACAGTCAAACATGGCGGCGGAAACGTTCTCGTATGGGGTGGCTTCTCTTCTTATGGAACTCTACCACTCAAGCGAATCACTGGGATTATGGATCAACGAGTTTATTTGGACATTTTGACAAACCATATGCTTCCAAATGCAGTTCAAACTATGCCTCCAAATTTCACTTTTCAGCATGATAACGATCCAAAACACAAGGCTCGACTCGTTCAAAACTGGCTGTCGCAACAAAACTTTGCCGTTATGGAGTGGCCAAGCCAAAGCCCCGACCTGAATCCTATTGAGCATTTGTGGGAAACGCTGGGAAGAATCTGCAAAGGGATTAGAACTCAAAATGCTCAGGATAAATTTGATCTCTTAGCCAAGAAGTGGTCGGAGATTCCAAAAAAGACGATCGATGAACTTATCGAGTCCATGCCTCGCAGATGTAATGCTGTCATCGCCTCGAATGGTTTTCCTACGAAGTATTAATTGTTAAAAACGAATTTTGTTGTTTTGATTTCAAAAACATTTGTTACCAGCTTTAGTTAATATGTTATTAAAAATATGCTAAGTCTTTGTCGCACCAGTTTTGTATAAAAATCTTCAAAATTTTTTTCTGAAACTCTATTTGGCTAAATACCAATTGTTTTTGTTAAAACATCAAGTTTTATTATTATATTTCGAAGTTTTAGGTAAATATTGCACAAACAGCGAGTTTTATTACAAAAACACTAAATTATGCTAAGTCTTTGTCCGCTACTGTATATTCGAGGGGAAATGACAGCAGTCCCAGATACGGTTTTGGTACACTCCATCTTGGTACACTCCATCTTGGACACTCCATCTTGGTACACTCCATCTTGGTACACTCGATCTTGGTACACTCCATCTTGGTACACTCCATCTTGGTACACTCCATCTTGGACACTCCATCTTGGTACACTCCATCTTGGTACACTCCATCTTGGTACACTCCATCTTGGACACTCCATCTTGGTACACTCCATTTTGGTACACTCCATCTTGGTACACTCCATTTTAGTACACTTCTGCTCATGCCCTTACTTTGTTTTTTGCAAAACTTTATTCCACACACACAAAACACAAATTGCAATAAAAAAAAAATCAAAAATTTAAAAACCCAAAAATTTAGCTTAACTACGAAGATTTTACATAAAAAATGTTGAAATGAAAGCGACGAAAATATCAGAAATTTTGCGTGAAAGACGAAGACTAAACGCAATTTGTTTTTTTTTGCAACTTGGATGTCACAAATGTAAATTAATCATTTGACTTGATTGAAAGCAAAGAAAATTCTTTTTTAATTGAGTCTATATTTGTGGAGAAAATCGAAATTTACACAAAAATCCATTTTTTTATGAAGTAAGAAAAGGATGAATGTCAAGCGAATCGTACAAAAGAACATCGTACGTTTGTACAATTGTAAAAGCGTACAAGCGTACAATCGTACAAAAGGACATCGTACAACCGTACAATCGTACAAAAGAACAGCGTACAATTGTACAATCGTACAAAAGAACAGCGTACAATCGTACAATCGTACAAAAGAACAGCGTACAATCGTACAATCCTACAATCCTACAATCGTACAATCCTACAATTGTACAAGCGTACAATCGTACAAAAGAACAGCGTACAATCGTACAATCGTACAATCCTACAATCGTACAATCCTACAATTGTACAAGCGTACAATCCTACAATTGTACAAGCGTACAATCGTACAAAAGAACAGCGTACAATCGTACAATCGTACAATCCTACAATCGTACAATCCTACAATTGTACAAGCGTACAATCGTACAAAAGAACAGCGTACAATCGTACAATCCTACAATCCTACAAGCGTACAATCCTACAATTGTACAAGCGTACAATCGTACAAAGGAAAAGAGACTATTTTGAATTGGAAAAAAAAAAACTACAAGATTACATGCACATTTGATCATTTTTTTTTTTGCACAATTTAAGAAAACGGTTTTTTTTTTGAGAGCTATGCAAAAACTTGATGGAGTGCTTTAAAAAAAGGTTTTTTTGTATTTTTGTACATACTGCTTTAGATTCTTTAAAGCATTCCACAAGAAAATCACACAAAAAGCCAAGATACAGCTGACAATGCAGATTTGAAGAGACTAGCCAAAAGAAAAAGGGGAAATTTTGGTACTAGCTGCTAGAAAAAGTACTTTTGAGGGGATTATTAGGGGAATTTTTGGCAAAAGGGAACAAATTTTGGGCACAAATGTAAACCCTGGCATGCACGGAGATGAGAAAACATGGGATTCGGGGAAATTTGGGGGAAATTTGAGGGAAATTTGAGGGAAATTTGGGGGAAATTTGAGGGAAATTTGAGGGAAATTCGGGGGAAATTTGTGGGAAATTCGGGGAAAATTTCACCGCAAAATCTGGGTGTCAATTCGCATTGAAATTAGCATTTTTTAGAGACCTACATTACATAAAACAATGAATGTTTAGCATTTAACGCATGCTGTGCAATAGATTCAGCTTTGAGCGGGCTGTCCTTGGGGCACCGTTTTTCGAGAAAACATGCCAAAAGCGGAGCGTCTCATCACCGGCACCCGTCACAATCGCCTCACCATCCGGCGACATTGCCTGAAAATTTGAGATTATCAATTTGAGATCATCAATTTGAGATCATCAATTTGAGATCATCAATTTGAGATTATCAATTTGAGATCATTAATTTGAGATTATCAATTTGAGATCATCAATTTGAGATCATCAATTTGAGATTATCAATTTGAGATCATCAATTTGAGATCATTAATTTGAGATCATTAATTTGAGATCATCAATCAATTCATCACAGAGCTATAAACGCACTCTTTCTGGCATACTAGAATGCTTACTAGAATGCCTTTGTACAGATTAATGCTCTCAAAGCACTTACCAAATAGAGAACACGAAAGTTGTGACCAGTGAGTTTTGTGACCGGAGTCATACTTGGGTACTTCCAAATAATCACCTGAAATTGAAATTTCAAAATTTTGTTTTCATTACAATGCCCTCCAGGATCTCTATTTTCATTTCTAGAAATTTGATCTGATGAATGGGAGCTTGCAAAATGTTAGAGATCAAATTAGGGATCAAATTAGAGATCAAATTAGGGATCAAATTTCGTACCTGATTGTACGAGTACCCGTGAGTGGAAACCAATTCGGATGAGTGCTTTGACCAGGCCACATTGCACACCTAAATATTATTGATTTAAGGATATTATTGATTTGATGATATTATTGATTTGAGGATATTATTGATCTGAGGATATTATTGATTTAAGGATATTATTGATCTGAGAATATTATTGATATTAGATCTGAGAAATCACAGAAATCTCAGAAATCTCAGAAATCATTTTCAATGAAAACTTACTTGACTTCCCGTGTCGATACATTGCATCGCCTGTCCGGTTAAAGTGTTCCAAAAACGAAGGCATCTGAAAAACGAATGGTTTTTCAGTCAAAGCTCTAGCCAGCTCACCGATCGGCCGTTCCACCACCACTCACGAGTAGCCCATGATGATGCGGTGACCAGGCTAACGCTTTCACCGCCGCGCTGTGCTCGGTGTACGTCTGAATTGAATTTTTGGCTAAAGAAAACTTCGATCTGGAACTCACAAGACTGAATTTCGGAATTCAAATTAGCAATTAGCAAGTTTTTTCCTCAAAATAGTATCAAGTATCAAGATCTTTCCTCTATTTTGCATTTCATGTCAAAGCTCTAGTCAGCTCACCGATCAGCCGTTCCACCACCACTCACGAGTTTAGCAATTAGCAAGATTTTCCTCAAAATAGTATCAAGTAGCAATCTTTCCTCTATTTTGCATTTCATTTGCATGCATTTCCCCACTCCAAATGACACTTAACGGGTTTCCCCCGTATGATTTATGACTCCGAGAATCTCCGAGACTCGCAATTGCTCAACAGCAATTGCGCAACTCTTTCCCGTCACTAATTTGTCTCTAAAGATTGATGATAATGCTTATTTGAAGGTCATTTCATTTTTAGGTTCGATAACTTTCGATTTTAATTTTAAAAATCCAAATTTTCAATACTGTAAGACTGTTTGTGCTTTTTCATTGTTGATGCTGGAGCCTAAGCTGGATGCTTAGAGCCTTAGAGCTGGATGCTGGAGCCTAGGCTGGATGCTTAGAGCCTTAGAGCTGGATGCTGGAGCCTTAGAGCTGGATGCTGGAGCCTTAGAGCTGGATGCTGGAGCCTTAGAGCTGGATGCTGGAGCCTTAGAGCTGGATGCTGGAGCCTTAGAGCTGGATGCTGGAGCCTAGGCTGGATGCTGGAGCCTTAGAGCTGGATGCTGGAGCCTTAGAGCTGGATGCTGGAGCCTTAGAGCTGGATGCTGGAGCCTTAGAGCTGGATGCTGGAGCCTAGGCTGGATGCTGGAGCCTTAGAGCTGGATGCTGGAGCCTTAGAGCTGGATGCTGGAGCCTTAGAGCTGGATGCTGGAGCCTTAGAGCTGGATGCTTAGAGCCTTAGAGCTGGATGCTTAGAGCCTTAGAGCTGGATGCTGGAGCCTAAGCTGGATGCTTAGAGCCTTCTTCAAATCTTCAAATCGAGACTTATTCTAGCGTCATTCAATCTCACATTATAGACTGTTCTTTTATAGACACCGTTGACCCGAAATACTATCGGGTAAGAGTGGTGCCAATTGGTGTCTGTCTGGTTGACCCCTATTCACCTCTTTTTTGTCTTTCAACTGACCACAAGGGTGCCTCCTAGAGGCTAAAGGTGTCCCGGGGGTGACCTCAAATGTCCCGTTTCTCTTTTTCTCTCTTTGGTATCCTTTCCATAAACGAAAAACCATTCTTTCTACTCTAAACCCTCCAGAATCTGTCTTATCTTTTCTCTTTTTTCTTTTTTCTTGTCAACTCTTCAAAACCTAAGGAAATATTAGAGATTTTTAAAATTGATAGATCTAGTTTATTGATTATTTATTAATTATTTATTGATTACTTTATTGATTATTTATTAATTATTTATTGATAAGGATTAAATGAAACTAAAGTAACCCATTAGATTACTTTATTGATGAGGATTAAATAAAACTACTGTAACCCATTAGATTACTTTGTTGATGAGGATTAAATGAAACTACAGTAACCCATTAGATTACTTTATTAGATCTAATCTAATATCCATCTAATATCCATCTAATATCCATCTAATATCCATCTAATATCCATCTAATATCCATCTAATATCCATCTAATATCCATCTAATATCTAACTACCTTTATAGATCAAAAGTTTCTCTAGTTACTGTAAACTTTGAATGATCATAAATTCAAATCACCTGATAGGGTTCAGGACGTCTCAAATTCCAGACCAAAAGCTGATTATCATTCCCGCCTGAAGCCAAAAATTGACGATCTGGTGACCATTTAAGGCCACAAACCTAAAATACGATAAAAATAATTGCCCTTTTTAAAATCCCCCACCTCCTGACGATGTGAGGTCAACTTTCTGGTGGGTGCTGTGCTCGCCCGGAGATCACGCTGTAAAATCGAGCGATCCCGACTCCCCGAACAGATCAACTGATCGTTCCACGCGAGACAACCAACCTGAAATCATTTTGTATATTCTGGAAACTGTTCTGGAAGGCACACTATCGATTTACGATCTTTACTATTTATGATTTACTATTTACGATTTACGATTTACTAAACTCACCCTTGAGCTGTGCCCATCCAATTCGTGGATTTTCTTTTGCGTGTGAACGTCCCAAATCTGAAAGATGGCGTTATAGATCAGCACAGATATCTTCTGATCTTTATTTCTCTACCTGGGTGGCTCCCTTGTTTGTACCAACAGCGAGCAGGTCTCCTTTGTCGGCCCATTGCACCGAGGTCACCGAGTCGTTGTCCTGAGTGGAGAGATCGCAAAGCTTGATCACCTGAAAGATGAAAATAAGATGAAAATATTGAGCTAAAAAGTTTATTATAGTCTTTTCTGGATGTCACTTTATATTTTGCCTGAAATAGATTTTTGATTTGGTGAAATTAGAGCTTGGTGGTCAACACCGGCAGAATCTTTGGCCCCATCGAGAGCTCACTTTTTACAGAAACTTATCGAAAATTCATTTATTATTCACTTATCTGGATGTCACAGTATATTCTAGATTAATAATATTCTAGATTAATAATATTCTAGATTAATAAGATTCTAGATTAATAATATTCTAGATTAATAATATTCTAGATTAATAATATTCTAGATTAATAATATTCTAGATTAATAATATTCTAGATTAATAATATTCTAGATTAATAATATTCTAGATTAATAATATTCTAGATTAATAATATTCTAGATTAATAATATTCTAGATTAATAATATTCTAGATTAATAAGATTCTAGATTAATAATATTCTAGATTAATAATATTCTAGATTAATAAGATTCTAGATTAATAAGATTCTAGATTAATAATATTCTAGATTAATAATATTCTAGATTTTTTTTTTTGTTTTAACACGTTGACGACAATGGCGTTTTTGCACAAACAATCGCATGGGACAACGTTGTTTTTTTCGACAAAAAATGTCACCTGACATCAGGTGACAATGTCCCAGGCGAACGAATATGTGTCAGACAGCATCAGGTGACAATGTCGTCAACGTGTTAAAAGAGAAATCGTTTGAAACCTGGCTATTATTCGCGCTCCATAGATAAACACAAGTGTTCAGCCCGACGGAGAGCATATTCTGAGAAGACCAATCAACAAGATTTAAATAGAAATCATCTTGCAACTCGGGAGCATCCAAAACCTAAAGATTGTTTGATAGATAAAGATGTCGATAGATAAGATAGATGCCATTCAGTCGGTTTAATTACCCAACTCAGCTCAAGTACTCAATTTTCTAATTAATCTAAAATCTTCGAATCTCTACAGCTACTGTGCGTTCCAGGATTGCTAAAAACTTACTTTATACGGATTTTTTGGCACTTTTCTTTGTGGTTTCTTTGGGCTTCTCAATAAGCGTTTACTATCCTCTGATAAAGGTCCCGATAAAATGCCACCATAAAGCTGAGATGTAGACGCGTCACCGTATCTGTAAATTGGATTGGATTGGATTGACTAGTACTTTAGAGTACTTTAGAGTACTTTAGACAGTACTTGATCCCTCAAAGTACTCTCTAAAATGTGCCCCAACTACCGTACCCTGTCCCAATTTATTTTTTGTTGAAAATCGAAAATCTAAGTAATCGAAATTCTGTCGTGATATCCAACTAAGAAATTCTAATCCTTTTTATTGCACAAACTTTGTCGGCGTCTGTTGTTTAAGGCCGAAAGCGAAGAGATTTCTGGATGGGCTGTCTCTCGGACGATCCCCAGGCATCACAATATCATCTCCATACGAAAGACATTGCTAAAAAAGGATTTGAATGCATCGAATGAATGCATTCCTTTCTCCTCACCCTAACATCATCGATATTATCACCGAGCAACTCATTCCTTAACAATGCTCGATGCACGAGTTGTTCTTGTCTCGGCTCTTCCGCATTTCCCGGTGGTGGAGCCGAGTTCGAACTGTAGCCTGAAAGTTGAGCTGTTCAATTGAGCTGTTCAATTGAGCTGTTCAATTGAGCTGTTCAATTGAGCTGTTCAATTGAGCTGTTCAATTGAGCTGTTCAATTGAGCTGTTCAATTGAGCTGTTCAATTGAGCTGTTCAATTGAGCTGTTCAATTGAGCTGTTCAATTGAGCTGTTCAATTGAGCTGTTCAATTGAGCTGTTCAATTGAGCTGTTCAATTGAGCTGTTCAATTGAGCTGTTCCAATTGAGCTGTTCAATTGAGCTGTTCAATTGAGCTGTTCAATTGAGCTGTTCAATTGAGCTGTTCAATTGAGCTGTCCAAAACCAATCCAATCTAAACCCAAGACAAACCTTGATACTGTGAATAGTGATGACTTGTACGCGGAGTCGGCGTATGCGGTGATGATTGTGCATAAGGCCGCTTGAAAGTATTCGGTGTTTCTTGATCAGCTGGTACTGGCACTAAAAGAATAAACATAATTAAAAGTAAGTAATAATTTAATAATTATGGATGTCATCCTTTAATAATTGAGTGTTAAGCTCTTTGTAAAAATTTTTAAAAAATAAATTCTCAGACTCTCCAAGAAAAAAAAAATTGAAAATTTTTTCTTTTATCTATTCTCCAATTTTGAGACACTTTTTGGATACTGTGCATTCCAGAATAACGACTTTTTTTAGAAATTCTAAATTCCGACTTATTGCTCACCTGGAATTGCGGAGAACCTTGCTTGCAGGTCGGCTGTTGGTTGTCGGAGTGGAATATAGCGATCCCCATAGTCGTGCCGCTTTGTCGGTGAGACATGAGGGGAATTTGTCTAAATTTGAGCATAATAAATCATAATAAAAGCTAAAAGTTAACTTTTTATTTATAGAGGACTCTAATTTAGTGAGAATTCAGAAAATTCATTAAAATTTGTCAAAATTCGTCAAAATTCATCCAAAATTCGTCAAAATTCGTCAAAATTCATCCAAATTTCATCAAAATTCTTTAAAATTCGTTAAAATTCGTCAAAATTCTTTAAAATTCATCAAAATTCTTTAGAATTCATCCAAAATTCGTCAAAATTCATCCAAAATTCGTCAAAATTCATCAAAACTCTTTAAAATTCTTTAAAATTCATCAAAATTCGTCAAAATTCATCAAAATTCATCAAAATTCATCCAAAATTCATCCAAAATTCATCAAAATCGAAACCGAATCGATTTTTCGCGATTCGTTAAATATTTTTCAAACTTTTAAAAAGAAAACTTTCAAATTGGAACGCAGTTTAGTTGTTGCTTTGATTTCCAAACCGGTTAAATATTTTTCAAACTTACCGGTGTAATTAATTTGACTGGTGATAGGGTGGCGATCACGTTTTGCCCCAAAATCCGCCGATCGAATTCCGCTGCTGAACTCATGACACACACACACACACACACAAAGAATCACCACTAAAAAGGTTTTGTCATTTTAATTTATGATTAAGACATTAAGAAGCGAAAGAGAAAGAGAAAGAGAAAAAACAAAAAACAAAAAAAAACAAAAAAACAAATCCCAACTTCATTCACTAGCAAATAAATCTCGTACCAAGAACTTTTGGTCAACTTTTGGTCAACTTCAAGGGCGAATTTTTCGAAATTCTTCAAGAATTGAGTATTCTGGATGTCACAGAACTTGAAAATTTTCATTTGATTTGATTGATTTGAGAAATTTGAATTGATTGATTTGATTTGAGGAAAACGATGAGATCAATCTCGATAAATTCAAATAAAATGACAATCATTCATGAGGAATTCCATGAGGAAACTGCCAAAAATTCCATGAGGAAACTGCCAAAAATTCCATGAGGAAACTGCCAAAAATTGCATGAGTTCCAAAAATTCCAGGAAACTGTCAAAAAATTTACTTTTAAATGTGCACGTGTGGCTGACTGGTTAAGTGTCTGTTATCTTAATCGGAAGGTCGAGGGTTCGAACCCCACATGCGACATGGTCACCCCCTTCGGATTTCCTTTCCCTTCGGGTTGAGAGGTTTTCTGGAGGGCAGTCTGGTGGTTGTGGCCCCAGTTCTTTAAAGTGACAAGCCACTCCTTCATCGTCATCTTCCCTTCACCACCAAAAAAGCTATTTAGTTCCCCATTGAGCTTAGGGTTAGGGAGCCGTCTGTCATGACGTGGGTTAAGTTAAGATATAGCCTAGTATTGTGTGTGTCGTTGTATTGTGATTCATATATTTCGTGTATGCGATAAATTCACCACTGGTAGCCCCAGTCGGTATTTTTTAAATGATTTCCCTTTTTTTTTGACTTATAAAACTTTTAAAATCGAAAATCTAGAAGGCAGAAAAGCATTTGGTGAAAAGAAAATACTCTGAAAATCGATATTGAAAAAAATTGGGAATAAGAAAATGAAAAATGACTAGATTTTTGACCACTAGAAAATGTTCATTCAATAAAGATTTTAAGCGGATTGGGCAAATTGGAAAACACGATAGGATTTGACAAGGTTTCAAGCAATTCCAAGACTGTTTGTGGTCACCCCAAACGAGTTCGAGACTATATAATGATAATAACAAAGATATTCAGCTAATTTATTGAATCAAATGTGCAAGCTGGAAATCATTTAGACTATTGGCTATGAAAAAGTGATAAAAACAGAGTTCCTACCAACCAACCCACCCCAAACGAGTTCGAGACTATATAATAACAATAATAAAGATATTCAGCTAAATGATTGAATCAAATGTGCAAGCTGGAAGTCATTTAGACTATTGGCTATGAAAAAGTGATAAAAAAAACAGAGTTCCTACCAACCAACCCACCCCAAGCGAGTTCGAGACTATATAATGATAATAACAAAGATATTCAGCTAAGTGATTGAATCAAATGTGCAAGCTGGAAATCATTTGTACTATTGGCTATGAAAAAGTGATAAAAAACAGAGTTCCTACCAACCAACCCACCCCAAGCGAGTTCGAGACTATATCATGACAATAATAAAGATATTCAGCTAAATGATTGAATCAAATGTGCAAGCTGGAAGTCATTTAGACTATTGGCTATGAAAAAGTGAAAAAAAATAGATTTCTACTGCAGTTGGAAATCGGGTTGGCCTGGATCCAGGTGGATTTAGTGCTTCAGACACTTCAAAAATAAAAACCTTCCCCAAAAAGCGCCATCCTGTCACTCATCGCACTCATTAGCAGTTCGCAGGGCAATCATTTCTTCAATAAGTGGCACCCCAATGCAAGACGCAATAGATATGGGATAGATATGGCTTTGTCGGTGATCGCTATCCACCAATTGCCCGATGCAAAGGTCGATCTGGAGCGCACGCAGCGTAAAGAGAGAAGGAAAATCGATCGCCATCGCAAAAAGGGAGAGGGGGGAGGGTTGGGGGAGACGCGACGCAGCCAGCTCTCTCCTTTCCTCTCTTACAACGAACATGTGAGCACGGCCACGCCTCTTTTTTTCGTCTCTCCAATGGCTAGGGAGAGAGTCAGAGAGGTGAAAGAATGGAAAGAAGAGAGAAAATCGATAGACAAACCGAGCGCGGTGGACCCTCTCGTCTCTACCTCTCCTCCAGCTCTACCTCTCCTCCAGCTCTACCTCTCCTCCAACTGAATGATCTCTCAAATTCCTCAAATCACGAATTTCGATCATGCAAATTAGCTTGTGACTTCCAGGAAACCTGTTTTTATAGTCAAATAAAGGAATTAATTTTGAAAACCGTGATTTTAAGTCTTGAACTCGATGCGTCACTTGTAAGGTAAACAGAAATTTTGAAAGAATGAAAGAAAGGTTTTTTTCTAATAGTTTAACACATTTTCCTGTAATCCAGATTAGCCAAAAATAATTGAATTTCAAGAAATCAAGCTAAGGATGAGAAAAAAAAGGCAAGAATTGTAAACAGCTTAAAATAAAAAATAAAATTTGCAAAATTTTCTTATTTTCTTTGATTGAAGAAGCTTTTGTGCTATCCAAATTAACTAAAATTGAGAAAAGAAAAGGCTTTTTGGCTTAAAAGGCTTTTTTTTGATTGAATTTGAAAATTCTTGGATTTGAAGCCTTGAAAGACTTCAAGAATATTCATTTAAAAATAAAATTTACAAAAAACAAAAATTTTTATTTTTATTTAAATAAACTTAAAGGACTCTTTAAGTTTTCGAATCACGCCAGAAGAACTCGTAGTCACAACTTTCAGATTACCCCCGTTTCAAAGCTTTCATGACCGCCAACTGTATCATTCTTTTGCTTGTCGTGTTCCTCGTATTTGGAATAAGTTACCTTGTGATATTTTTTCGTCTATGAACTATTTTAAATCCTCAATATATAAGCTCGATCTTGTAGTTCTGTCAATTTTAAATTAGTTTTTAATGTCATATATACACGTGTCTAATTGTCGTTGTGTTTGTATATCAATTCTCTTTCTTCGTCTACGCTGTTCAATCTGTTTGCATTGTCACTTTTCCTTGTCGGATAAAGTATATATATGTTGTGTCCGATTTAGATTTCCGTCCGATTTAGATTGAATCTAAATCGGACGTCCGATTTAGATTGAACTTATCGCGGACGTCCGATTTAGATTACAGTCTATATCGGACGTCCGATTTAGATTCAATCTAAATCTTACATGGATTGAACAATAATATAAACATGCTTAATATATGTTCTTAAGCGTTTTCTGTAGTTTTCTGCATTTTTCAAAGGTCTTTTATTGATTACAGTCTATATCGGACGTCCGATACAGATCGAACAATAATAAACGTGCTTAACATATGTTCTTTGAAAATTTCTTTGAAAATTTCTTTGAAAAGCGCAGAAAATTGCAAAAAAACGCTTAAGAACATATATTAAGCACGTTTATTATTGTTCGATCTGTATCGGACGTCCGATATAGACTGTAATCTAAATCGGACGTTCGCGATAAGTTCAATCTAAATCGGACGTCCGATATAGACTGTAATCTAAATCGGACGTCCGCGATAAGTTCAATCTAAATCGGACGTCCGATTTAGATTCAATCTAAATCGGACGGAAATCTAAATCGGACACAACATATACAAAGACTTCAAGAATATTCATTTAAAAATAAAATTTACAAAAAAATGCTATCAAATTTAAATGACAGCTAGAAAACAAAGAAAATGTTTTCTTTCTTTTCTTTCTTTCTTTCTTTCTTTCTTTTCTTTTCTTTTCTTTCTTTTCAACTATTTCAAGCGTTTCTAGCGTTTCAAGCGTTTCAAGCGTTTCAAGCGTTTCTAGCGTTTCAAGCGTTTCAAGCGTTTCTAGCGTTTCAAGCGTTTCAAGCGCTCGTTTCAAGCGCTCGCTTACGGCCATACCACGTTGAAAACAGCGGCACAAAACAGCGGCACACATCAGCGCGAAAATGCGTTTTCTATCGGATTTTTCTGGGAGTACCTTTTTTAGATGCGGAAAATTGTGCTGATTCTGAATCTGAAGGAATTTTTCAAATCCCTTTGACAGAAATTTTTAAAATTTAGTTAATTTAGAAAAAAATGCTATCAAATTTAAATGACAACTAGAAAACAAAGAAAATATAAGTGCTCTTTCTTTCTTTCTTTCTTTCTTTTCTTTTCTTTTCTTTCTTTCTTTCTATCAGTGTTCTTTCTAAAATCAATCATTTTCTGTTCTCTTTGTATTGCAGAGGAAAGATAAGCGATATTAACAGAACCACTCGTTCGACTTCGAAAGTCCACTCATTTTCAGCTCGTTGTCCAGTCCAGCTCGTTGACACAAAGAAAATAGTAAAATAGAAAGAGTATATAGTGATGCTGGAAGGCACAGATGGGAAAGAAGAAAGAAAGACGAAAGAAGAATCAGTGATTGCAGGGAGATAAGGGGAAATACTAGTCTGAGTGGGGTCTGGGTTGAGTTTCAAGGCTGCCTACGATTTTGGATACATTTCTGAAAAAATCTGATAAAAAATCAGTTTTTCTTTCAATCTGGACAGCACGAGAACTAAAGCAATCAAGAGAATTAGTGAATTGTTTAATAAAAAGATACAAAAAAATCTGGGTCCACCGTAGCAGTTCCACTTTTACGAAATCGATATTTTAACGAAATCAATATATTTTAAATTCATAAATCAACGCTGTGCTATCCAGGATTTCTATTAAATACCAAATTTTACATTCAAATTCATTTCATATGCAAATTTTTGCGGCAAAACAGTAGAGAAATTTGAATTTTATAAAATCAACTTTTAAAATCAACTGAAAGCAAAAAAATCGATATCGTGCATCCCAGGAATTCGAAAATAGGTCACAAGGGGATCGACTTCTGGTCGAGAAACGAAAAAAAGTCAAAGAGAGAAGAGATTTCTCTATTTGTAAGCCCCCAAACAGACCCCAACCCCAGCCGCAACCCCAACCGCACCTATTTGCTCTCTCTCATCCTCAGTCCATTCCTTTCTTCTCTACCCCGACTCAAGTTAATCAGTTGTAAAAAGTAAAAAAGTAAAAGAGAAAAAAGAAAAAGAAAAATGAAAAAAGAAAACTGAGAGTTTAATCGAATTGATTGAGAAAGATTGAAAATTAAAGAAATTAATGAATGAATTAAAGAAATTAACTTTTTATTCAATGAGCTTTGATTCAGAGATAAATGAAAGAGATAAATGTTGAAAGCTTTACGAAGTCCAATTATTATTGTTCATTTTATCATCATCGATGAGCTCCTCGTTGATGCGAACGGTGTTGTAAACCTGGGAATGGAGGGAATTGTACAGAGTATTGCTAGGGAATTGTACAGAGTATTGTTGGGGAATTGTACAGCGTATTGCTAGGGAATTGTACAGAGTATTGCTAGGGAATTGTACAGAGTATTGCTAGGGAATTGTACAGAGTATTGCTAGGGAATTGTACAGAGTATTGCTAGGGAATTGTACAGAGTATTGTTGGGGAATTGTACATAGTATTGCTATGGAATTGTACAGAGTATTGTTGGGGAATTGTACATAGTATTGCTATGGAATTGTACAGAGTATTGCTAGGGAATTGTACAGAGTATTGCTAGGGAATTGTACAGAGAGTTTTGCTATGGAATTGTACAGAGTTTTGTTGGGGAATTGTACAGAGTATTGCTAGGGAATTGTACAGAGTATTGTTGGGGAATTGTACAGAGTATTGCTAGGGAATTGTACAGAGTTTTGCTATGGAATTGTACAGAGTTTTGTTATGGAATTGCTCATTTCTTGTCTAAGGGTTGAAATTTGTCGAAAATTTGTTCATTCAGCCTTTCACCTGATTTATGAGACTGTTGGCTCGTTCAATCAACGCATCGGGCTCACTTTTCCCACGTAAAACCATCACCTAAACGTTGTAAAAGTGAAATTGTAACCAGTTTTAAAAAAAACCTTGTGAACAAAGCTCACAGTGGCAACGGGCACAAATTTCTCGTACGCGGCTCGGACTTGCTCGCTTGTAATCGACGCGTTTCCACTTTGAAGCACCTGAAGAGTTTTGTTTTTTTTTTGGAGTGTGATTAGTACTGGAAAGTACTGGACAATGAAATATGAATATTTGAAAAAAGATCGATTACAAGATCGTCACTTTCGCGCGTCTGTAACTCCATTGTCTTTGAGTTTAAACTATTAATGTTATACATTTTCTGAAAGCTCTTTTCAATGGCTTTTCAATGGCTACACAATGGTAAGATTAATATTTAGAAATACGGTAAAGAAAAGGGAGTTAGACAAGGGAGAAAGTGAGGCGCGAAAGTGACGATCTGTTTTCAAATATCATATTTCATTGTCCAGTAGTTTAGCTTTGTAAAATCACCAATTGATAGTGATATGCTTGAAGGAGTTGAGAGGTTTGTGTCGCTCGTTCTCTGGGATTCAAATTCCAGCAAATCGCTTTTGCTAGATCTTCTCCAAAACATCCCGCATGGCAACCTGGGAATTGGGTTTCCTTATTAGCTTTCTAAGCTTCTTATTAGCTTTCTAGTCTTCTTATTAGCTTTCTAGTCTTCTTATTAGCTTTCTAGGCTTCTTATTAGCTTTCTAGTCTTCTTATTAGCTTTCTAGTCTTCTTATTAGCTTTCTAGGCTTCTTATTAGCTTTCTAAGCTTCTTATTAGCTTTCTAAGCTTCTTATTAGCTTTTTCTTATAGCTTTAAACAATTTAAGCAAATCTTTCTTTCAAACTGGAGCACACACTTGTCCAATCGACAATGCCGGCGATTGGATGATGATCGGTGTCGACGATATCGACGAAGATATTTGATGAGAACGGCTCTCCGTGTACCAATACCTTGAAATCGCTTTTTTGAGATATTTTGAGATAATTTTAGATGATTTTAGATGATTTTAGATGATTTTAGATCATTTTAGATGATTCTAGATGATTATAGATGATTCTAGATGATTTTAGATGATTTTAGATGATTTTAGATGATTCTAGATGATTATAGATGATTTTAGATGATTTTAGATGATTTTCAGTCAATCTGGAAGTCACACAACAATTCTTTGCCTTTCGAACCTTTGCCACTTTCCATTCATCACCAGGTGGGGAGAAGTTTTTGTAAGGGAAAGAATAGAAAGAGGATAGAATACCTGAGTGAACCACTAAAAGGGGAAGTCACTTGCGCCCCATTTCCGGGAGAATTCTGGGTTCGATAATTCTAGATGATTTTAGATGATTTTAGATGATTTTAGATTATTTTAGATGATTCTAGTTAAATTTAAATAATTTTCAGTCAATCTGGAAGTCACACAACAATTCTTTGCCTTCAAACCTTTGCCACTTTCCATTCATCACCAGGTGGGGAGAAGTTTTTGTAAGGGAAAGAATAGAAAGAGGATAGAATACCTGAGTGAACCACTAAAAGGGGAAGTCACTTACGCCCCATTTCCGGGAGAATTCTGGGTTGGATAATTCTAGATGATTTTAGATGATTTTAGATGATTTTAGATTATTTTAGATGATTTTAGATGATTTTAGATTATTTTAGATGATTCTAGTTAAATTTAAATAATTTTGAGTCAATCTGGAAGTCACACAACAATTCTTTGCCTTCAAACCTTTGCCACTTTCAACTCATCACATGACTCGTTCACTGTATTCTCTAGATAGGAAGCAGCGAAGAATTTCTCGATTTTCTGGAATTTCAATATTTTAGCTTTTCTAAAGTTTCTAAAATTTTATTCTGCGCTCCAGAATGGTTATTTTTTGTCAAATTATCGTAACTTTTTTAGAGTTTTATCGAGAATTTGACAGAGAACAGTTTCCGGTAGGTTACTGTACTGTACTGTATCATTTCTGCACATTTCTGTACATTTCTGTATCATTTCTGTACATTTCTGTATCATTTCTGTACATTTCTGTACATTTCTGTACATTTCTGTACATTTCTGTACATTTCTGTACATTTCTGTACATTTCTGTATCATTTCTGTACATTTCTGTATCATTTCTGTATCATTTCTGTACTGTACTGTAGCATTTCATTTCACTGAATCATTTTAACAACGTCATTTCTCCAAATGACATCCATAGTTACTGGAATCGTAAAAATGAACGACAAACCTTTAGCCGCATTGGATCTGCGCCCTTCGTCGTGAAATACTCAAGGACATCAGCGAAACTTCCAGCCTCATTCGAAAAAAACGATACTGGCAAGTCGGCTATCTAAAATAATGGACTGCAAACTAGATTAGATTTTGATAAACCATCGTTGTCCACTGTTTATCACGCCATGATTGAGCATGGAGTCGAGCCAACTGGAAGAGCAAATCACCCACATTTTCTATCTAAATAGACGAGTAGAAAAGGATTACGGTAGCTCTTTTTCGACACTTTTAGAGACTGACAGGGGAAAGATTATCTCTAAGGCCTGGGAAAGGTTGTTTAGTCTGTTGCCTAGTCTGTTGTCTAGTCTGTTGTCTAGTCTGTTGTCTAGTCTGTTGTCTAGTCTGTTGTCTAGTCTGTTGCCTAGTCTGTTGTCTAGTCTGTTGTCTTGACTGTTGTCTTGATTGTTGCCTGGCAAAGTATCTGGAGAAGCTTGGAATAAGAATTTTGACTCGAAGCCAAGAAATCAGGACTTGCTTTGATTCTTCTGCCATTTTGTGGCTCAAATCAGTTCAGAAGCTAGCTTTTGGTCTATTCTGGACTAGGAATTGCCTTTTACACTCACCCCCAATCCATTCTTCTCGTCTTGTTGCTGTGCCCGCTCGCCGAGATCCTCCATTATAATACATCCGCCACCATCCTCGTTTCCGTGTTTCTAAAATTTAACTGATAGAATGACCGGACAAGCTGCAGTCCCCAAAATTTGAGTTTCCAGTTGAATTGGCTAGACTGACTTTCCAGTTGAATTGAGTCTCTCAAACGCTAGGCTGACTAACGAAAGGCATCAGATCAAGGTGGTTTTAAAGCCACGGGATTCTATAAAGCCACCGGGGCTTCATAGAATCGGCTATGCTGATTCTGAATATGCTTTTACTTTTTTCAAAGAAGCTCTGTAACGCGAGAAATCTAGCATCAAAGTTTCGAGTTTAGGATGATTTTCGAGGCGTTATAAGCTTTTTCTTTCTTCCTTAAATAAAGAGCTAGTGGCGGAGTGGATAATATGCTCGGCTCTAAAACGTTTCCATTTTTTTTTTGGCTTGGGTTCAAGTTCGCTGCCGGTTTATTCTTTTTACTTTGAATTCCACTATTTTTGATTCAATTCAATTCCATTCCGCGTATTGAATTCCACTATTTTTGCATGCATAAGCACTATTCCACCGAGTTCTGTAGGTAACCGCACCAATATGGTGAACTGGTGCAAGACTGGCCCCCCTAGGCCCCCTTCAGAGTCCTTACAAGCTTTTTCTCTCTTCCTTAAATAAAGAGCTAGTGGCGGAGTGGATAGTATGCTCGGCTCTAAAACGTTTCCGTTTTTTTTTTGGCTTGGATTCAAGTTAGCTGCCGGTATATTCTCTTTGCTTTTTTTTGAGAAAACGATTAGAAAGTGTGGTTCTTTTCCAATATCGGGGGAGCGGTCCGATTATCGGGGGAGCGGAAAGAAAATCGGGGGAGCGAAAGGAAAATCGGGGGAGCAAATTTTGCCCCCTCGAAAAATGCATTTCTGGGACTTTTATTTTAACTGCAACGTTTTTTTTTAAACTTTAACGACGATGCGCTTCTCCGATATTTGTGCGTTCAAGGAATCGACGGCAATCGATTATTTCGTCACCAAAGGAGTCATCCAGTCGTGGATTTGCAACTGTGGCGAATCGATGAAAGTCCGCTCAAAGGGAAAAGATCTATTTCGCTGGGTATGTGACACTTGCGCACGGCGAAATGTCCCCAAGTGTTAGATATTTAAGTCACTTTTGTGATCTAATATAAAGGTTGTGAGAATAACGGGTAATTCGCGGATTTTATGGCAGTACTTTGGATAATATAGGACATATGTAGCGCTGCCAAAAAATTAAAAAAAAAACGTTGCAGTTAAAATAAAAGTCCCAGAAATGCATTTTTCGAGGGGGCAAAATTTGCTCCCCCGATTTTCCTTTCGCTCCCCCGATTTTCCTTTCGCTCCCCCGATAATCGGACCGCTCCCCCGATATTGGAAAAGAACCGAAAGTGTTTATGGCATGTGGTTTGATTGATTTTGACTTTGATTAACGGAAGAATGTTTAGAAATGATTTAGGAACGTAAATGCTTTATTTATAAATGTGATTTACTGTTGCTCGAGCATTGTTCATGATTTCACGGACAACTTAGTGTATACCGGGGTTACCGGTGATCGATTTTGCACACAGATAATCACAATTTACACGTTAAAACCTAGGGAATATTCTGTTGTTTGTGAGGATGGGACGAGGTAGGAGACGATGTAGGAGGAGAAAGCTTCCTGCTTTATATGTGCTGGAAATGTAGGAGAAGGCTACCTCCTTTATTATGCTTGCGATGTAGGAGGTGAAGGCTACCTGCTTATATGTGCTTGGGCCTTAGACAAGTCCATTTGGGTCACTTGTTATCCCAACCCCGAGGGAAGGGGGCCTAGGGGGGCCAGTCTTGCACCAGTTCACCATATTGGTGCGGTTACCTACAGAACTCGGTGGAATAGTGCTTATGCATGCAAAAATAGTGGAATTCAATACGCGGAATGGAATTGAATTGAATGAAAAATAGTGGAATTCAAAGTAAAAAGAATAAACCGGCAGCGAACTTGAACCCAAGCCAAAAAAAAATTGAAAACTTTTAGAGCCGAGCATATTATCCACTCCGCCACTAGCTCTTTATTTAAAGAAGAAAGAAAAAGCCTATAACGCCTCGAAAATCATCCTAAACTCGAAACTTTGATGCTAGATTTCTCGCGTTACAGAGCTTCTTTGAAAAAAGTAAAAGCCTATTCAGAATAAGCATAGCCGATTCTATGAAGCCCCGGTGGCTTTATAGAATCCCGTGGCTTTAAAACCACCTTGATCTGATGCCTTTCGTTAGTCAGCCTAGCGTTTGAGAGACTCAATTCAACTGGAAACTCAAATTTTGGGGACTGCAGCTTTGTGGGGACTGCAGCTTTGTGGGGACTGCAGCTTTGTGGGGACTGCAGCTTTGTGGGGACTGCAGCTTTGTGGGGACTGCAGCTTTGTGGGGACTGCAGCTTTGTGGGGACTGCAGCTTTGTGGGGACTGCAGCTTTGTGGGGACTGCAGCTTTGTGGGGACTGCAGCTTTGTGGGGACTGCAGCTTTGTGGGGACTGCAGCTTTGTGGGGACTGCAGCTTTGTGGGGACTGCAGCTTTGTGGGGACTGCAGCTTTGTGGGGGACTGCAGCTTTGTGGGGACTGCAGCTTTGTGGGGGACTGCAGCTTTGTGGGGACTGCAGCTTTGTGGGGACTGCAGCTTTGTGGGGACTGCAGCTTTTGTGGGGACTGCAGCTTTGTGGGGGACTGCAGCTTTGTGGGGACTGCAGCTTTGTGGGGGACTGCAGCTTTGTGGGGACTGCAGCTTTGTGGGGACTGCAGCTTTGTGGGGACTGCAGCTTTGTGGGGACTGCAGCTTTGTGGGGACTGCAGCTTTGTGGGGACTGCAGCTTTGTGGGGACTGCAAAAAAGCACCTTGATCTGATGCTTTTCTCTAGTGAGATCCAGCTTGGATGAAAATATGAAAAAAAACATTGACTTTCTTACCTTTATATGATAAATTATTGGGGTCGAGAAATCTTTGACGTGTTGTAGCCAATCAAAAGCATTACATTCTCTAAAAATTTGTGAATTTCTCGAAAATTCTCAATTTTCTTTCAACCTCTTAAATAAAGTATAGTAAAATCGGCCTTTTTCGTCTTCTCGAGCCTCTTTGGCGAGCGGAATCTAAAGAAAAATTTTTTGAAATTTGAATTTAACTTTACATGATGATGAAAATGATGAAATTTCCCCATTTTTCATTTTTTATTTTTCATTTCCATTTCCATTTCCCTTTTTCCAAACCTTTAAAACCACAGATCTTGGCAAACGTGGATCCTCAGATTCCCAGGCAAGTGTGATCCGGATTACGGTAGAAGATTCGATTTCTAGAAAACAGGCTTTCTTGCTTGCTTGCTTGCTTGCTTGCTTGCTTGCTTGCTTGCTAAGACTTCGAGAAGAAAACTTGCGATTTATTGACTCTAGGTTTTTAAAAACTTTGCAAAAGACAATCCTGGAGCGCACTCGAGATTTCTTTGATAAAATTCGGGCAAAATTCCACGAATTGCCCAAGTCGCACAACAGTGTCGACTTCGAGGCTTTATCTAAGAATTTCAAAGCGCTAAGCAACTGAATCCAGCATGCCAATCGGTTATCTGGAGCGCACGAGAGCTAGCAAAAGCTGCAAAATCTGCAAACGATGCAAAATGTGCAAAATGTGCAAAATGTGCACAATCTCCAAATCTATCTCTCATAAAGTAGGACCTGTAGACGTTTTGCGATTCAGTCGCTCGGCGATCCATTGCGGTTCCTCGTGAATGGGGAAATGCTCGGTCAACTTTCGCACAATCCATTTAATTCTAAATTTGTCTAATCGTATAAATGATTATAGTCGAATTTTGACCTCAATTCAGTGTTACAGATTTTCTCCTCTTCTCCGCCAAAACCTGTTGACGGCATTGTAGGTGGTGGTTCCATTGAAGGGACACTAAAAGGGAAAGTTCATTGAAGGGACACTAAAAAGGAAACATTCATTTAATAACTCGAAAAATCTTCCTCAATTTCTCATCTCTTTTCCAATTAACTTTTATTTCATCTTTTATTTCATCCATTGTACATATTCCATCGTACATATTCCATCGTACATATTCCATTGTACATATTCATTTGTACATATTCATTTGTACATATTCCATTGTACATATTCCGTTGTACATATTCCATTTGTACATATTCATTTGTACATATTCATTTGTATATATTCCATTGTACATATTCCATTGTACATATTCTATTGTACATATTCTATTGTACATATTCTATTGTACATATTCCATTGTACATATTCATTTGTACATATTCTATCGTACACATTCATTTGTACATATTCATTTGTACATATTCTATTGTACATATTCATTCGTACATATTCTATTGTACATATTCTATTGTACATATTCTATTGTACATATTCTATTGTACATATTCTATTGTACATATTCCATTGTACATATTCATTTGTACATATTCTATCGTACACATTCATTTGTACATATTCATTTGTACATATTCTATCGTACACATTCATTTGTACATATTCATTTGTACATATTCATTTGTACATATTCCATTGTACATATTCCATTGTACATATTCTATTTGTACATATTCCATTGTACATATTCTATTGTACATATTCCATTTGTACATATTCCATTGTACATATTCATTTGTACATATTCTATTGTACATATTCATTCGTACATATTCTATTGTACATATTCCATTGTACATATTCCGTTGTACATATTCCATTGTACATATTCTATTTGTACATATTCTATTTGTACATTTGTACATATTCCATTTGTTTTCCATTTCCATTGTACATTTGTACATATTCCATTTGTACATTTGTACATACTCCATTTGTTTTCCATTTCCATCTCCCCCAAAATTCCCCTCGTTTCCCCATGACATCCGGTTTCCCCATTGTTTGGTTAAAATAAGAAAAGGGTTTTTGAAATAAAAAGGCTTTCTGAAGAATGTTTGTGACTTTTTTTCTAGATCATTATCTCAATGATCAGAAGTAAATCTATAATATTTACCTTGACGCTGACATTGCATCCTCGTCTTGTCCCGGTAAACCAAGTGAAACAACCGAGAGACGATTGTGTCGATCATTTGAATGATTTGGAGTTGGTGAAGCTGACACCGAAGAATCTTCCACCGAAGCACCACAACCCATTGTTGAGGGAAACAAACGAGTTGTGAACTGTTAAAGAAATCGGTGTTAAAGAAATCGAGATTAAGTTCAGTTAAACTGAGGAAACTTTTTATGGAAATTTTAAAAAAAAATACCAAACTATGAACATGGAATAGGGCTAGGAAGTTTTTTTTAAGTTTTTAACGCATTTTCAACTTCTTTAATGCCTTTTTTTTGATGCTATTAAGTTAATGATTCAATTAAAAGATCGATTTCTTTAACTTTTCGCGTTTCTGGAATGCAATACTTGTTTCTAGAAAAGGTGAAATCTTTTATAGTAAAAAAATGGCTTTGAAATTTTGGAAATGAAAGGAAGAGGATGAAAGGAAGAGGATGAAAGGAAGAGGATGAAAGGAAGAGGATGAAAGGAAGAGGAGGAAAAGAAGAGGAGGAAAGGAAGAGGATGAAAGGAAGAGGATGAAAGGAAGAGGATGAAAGGAAGAGGATGAAAGGAAGAAGATGAAAGGAAGAGAATGAAAGGAAGAAGATGAAAGGAAGAGAATGAAAGGAAGAAGATGAAAGGAAGAAGCTAAAAGAAAGAAGATTCAGAAAAAATGCCTAGACGAAATCCCAAACTCTCAAGTAGAAATAAGAAATTTCCGATCTCCAAGTTCTTCAAAACTTTTAGAGAGGAAATTTTCGCTTCAAGCTCAACAATGTGCCTTTCTCTCTTCCTCTCTTCCTCTCTTTCTCTTCCTCCTCCTCTCTTTCTCTTTCTCTTTCTCTTTCTCTTTCCCTTTCCCTTTTCAGCTTTGCCATTTTTAGGTCCAATTTTTTTCCCTAACCATTTCAACCAAAAAAAAGAACCCTTAAGATTTTTTTTTTTAAAACCAGCAAAGAACTTTTAGATTTCTGGAGATTTTTGAGTCTTTTCGTCAAAATTCACAAACGCTTGGGTGCACTTTTTTTGCTGAAAATTGAAAACGAAATATTTGACGAGAAAGATGACGTCATATTTTTAAAAGAAACGAGATCATTTAAATTTCGAAATTTTTTGATATCCTTATTTTGTGAGAGGTTGAATTTGTGGTGTTGACTTGAGTCAATACATAACTCAACATTTCGTTTTTGAGACTTCTTCGGCTGAAATCCTTCATCGCCTACAACATGTATATGTTGTAGACATGGGAAAATTCCAACCGAAACCTAATTCCACCTTCGTTTTCTCAGCCGTCTCTTGGTCGATTGTTCTGAAATTTTGTTTACAAACAGAGAATGCTAATTTCTATTTGTAAACAAAATTTCAGAACAATCGACCAAGAGACGGCTGAGAAAACGACGGTGGAATTAGGTTTCGTTTGGAATTTTCCCATGTCTAAGCGTTATTCTTGCTTTCTAGATAATTTTTCAAAGATTAGACTGACAAGAAATCAATTTGAGCCCGCCAATAATAAGTTCCTTTCGCTAGAAGAAGTGCCACAAGTTTTCGAGCCGCCGTAGGATCACAATCCTGTCAAAGCAGTCAAAGCAGTCAAAGCAGTCAAAGCAGTCAAAGCAGTCAAAGCCTAAGCAGTCAAAGCAGTCAAAGCAGTCAAAGCAGTCAAAGCAGCCAAAGCAGTCAAAGCAGTCAAAGCAGTCAAAGCCTAAGCAGTCAAAGCAGTCAAAGCAGTCAAAGCCTAAGCAGTCAAAGCAGTCAAAGCAGTCAAAGCAGTCAAAGCAGTCAAAGCAGTCAAAGCCTAAGCAGTCAAAGCAGTCAAAGCAGTCAAAGCAGTCAAAGCCTAAGCAGTCAAAGCAGTCAAAGCAGTCAAAGCAGTCAAAGCAGTCAAAGCAGTCAAAGCCTAAGCAGTCAAAGCAGTCAAAGCAGTCAAAGCCTAAGCAGTCAAAGCAGTCAAAGCAGTCAAAGCAGTCAAAGCAGTCAAAGCAGTCAAAGCAGTCAAAGCCTAAGCAGTCAAAGCAGTCAAAGCAGTCAAAGCAGTCAAAGCAGTCAAAGCAGTCAAAGCAGTCAAAGCCTAAGCAGTCAAAGCAGTCAAAGCAGTCAAAGCCTAAGCAGTCAAAGCAGTCAAAGCAGTCAAAGCAGTCAAAGCAGTCAAAGCAGTCAAAGCAGTCAAAGCAGTCAAAGCAGTCAAAGCAGTCAAAGCAGTCAAAGCAGTCAAAGCAGTCAAAGCAGTCAAAGCCTAAGCAGTCAAAGCAGTCAAAGCAGTCAAAGCCTAAGCAGTCAAAGCAGTCAAAGCAGTCAAAGCAGTCAAAGCAGTCAAAGCAGTCAAAGCAGTCAAAGCAGTCAAAGCAGTCAAAGCAGTCAAAGCAGTCAAAGCAGTCAAAGCAGTCAAAGCAGTCAAAGCCTAAGCAGTCAAAGCAGTCAAAGCAGTCAAAGCCTAAGCAGTCAAAGCAGTCAAAGCAGTCCAGAAGCAGTCAAAGCAGTCAAAGCAGTCAAAGCAGTCAAAGCAGTCAAAGCAGTCAAAGCAGTCAAAGCAGTCAAGCAGTCAAAGCAGTCAAAGCAGTCAAAGCCTAAGCAGTCAAAGCAGTCAAAGCAGTCAAAGCCTAAGCAGTCAAAGCAGTCAAAGCAGTCAAAGCAGTCAAAGCAGTCAAAGCAGTCAAAGCAGTCAAAGCAGTCAAAGCAGTCAAAGCAGCCAAAGCAGTCAAAGCAGTCAAAGCAGTCAAAGCCTAAGCAGTCAAAGCAGTCAAAGCAGTCAAAGCCTAAGCAGTCAAAGCAGTCAAAGCAGTCAAAGCAGTCAAAGCAGTCAAAGCCTAAGCGTTTCGATAATGTTTCACTGACACTAAAATAGAAAACTATTTAAACATAAAATTTGATTTCCAACTGGCTGGATGACATCTAAAATTTGAAATTTGGATCTAAAATGTAAAATTTCCATTTAAAGATCAAATAAAAGGAAATCAAGATGACGACTTTATCTTTATTCGCAAGCTCTTCTTCGCCTTTATTAGTAAGTTTTTTTTTCTTTTCTTTATTTTTAGCACTTAGTTTTTTTATATTGCTTAATTTTCTTAATCATTTTTCATTTTCAATCAACTAACTAACTTGGCTTTTATGGGAAACCAAAGGTGATTAATATTAGGTTGTCCAGTTATGAATGCGCGCTTTTACTATTTTGTAAATTTTTCAGGATATCGAACAGATCTATATGAGTGTTATATACCATTCGAAAGCTGAAGATCTCCTCTACATTTTGATATAAAAAACCTTTGGAATTTGTTCAGCTTTTGGGCAAATTGACTGCACAAAGGGAGAGGTCGTTTTCGAAAAAACCCATTTCAGTTTAGCTATGACTGCTTTGACTGCTTAGGCTTTGACTGCTTTGACTGCTTTGACTGCTTTGACTGCTTAGGCTTTGACTGCTTTGACTGCTTTGACTGCTTTGACTGCTTTGACTGCTTTGACTGCTTTGACTGCTTTGACTGCTTTGACTGCTTTGACTGCTTTGACTGCTTTGACTGCTTTGACTGCATTGACGCTTGACTGGCTACTGACTGCTTTGACTGCTTTGCTTTGCTTTGACTGCTTGTTGACTGCTTAGTTTGACTGCTTTGACTGCTTTGACTGCTTTGACTGCTTTGACTGCTGACTGCTACGACTGCTTTTGACTGCTTTGACTGCTTTGACTGCTTTGACTGCTTTGACTGCTTAGGCTTTGACTGCTTTGACTGCTTTGACTGCTTTGACTGCTTGACCTTTTGACTGCTAGCTTGACTGCTTGACTGCTTTGACTGCTTTGACTGCTTGACTGACTGCTTTGACTGCTTTGACTGCTTTGACCGCTTTGACTGCTGCTGACTTTGACTGCTTTGACTGCTTTGACTGCTTTGACTGCTTTGACTGCTTTGACTGCTTAGGCTTTGACTGCTTTGACTGCTTTGACTGCTTTGACTGCTTTGACTGCTTTGACTGCTTTGACTGCTTTGACTGCTTTGACTGCTTTGACTGCTTTGACTGCTTTGACTGCTTTTGACTGCTTGACTGCTTTGACTGCTTGCTTTGACAGCTTTGACTGCTTTGACTGCTTTGACTGCTTTGACTGCTTTGACTGCTTTGACTGCTTAGGCTTTGACTGCTTTGACTGCTTAGGCTTTGACTGCTTTGACTGCTTTGACTGCTTTGACTGCTTTGACTGCTTAGGCTTTGACTGCTTTGACTGCTTAGGCTTTGACTTCTTAGGCTTTGACTTCTTAGGCTTTCTTTTCCTTTTTTCATTTGCACTTTCTGCTCTCAAATCTTGCAAAAGCTCTTTTTCGTGTCCTGCAATCAAAGCAATTCTTTTTCGAGCTTCTCCAACAACAGTTTGGTCCTTCTCTTCGTCGCTCATCAAATTTTCCACTATAAACATTCTTCTTTCGAGATTGAGACTTTTGCAGGAAATGAAACGACAAGAGCAACGTTAAGGTCAGCAAAAATAGCTCAAGAATTGGAAAATTGGATTTTTGTGCTTGTACAATTGATCCCTGACATTTGTGTTTAAACTCAGAATTCTGATCAGGCTACGAGAGCTAAACCCAAGTTGAGCACTAACAGTTTTTGTGTTATTTTAGAAATTAATCCAATATAACGTCTAGATCTAGATTTTTAATATCGTATTTTCTCTACTAGTAGCTTCGAGCGTCGAGCGTCGAGCGTCGAGCGTCGAGCTTCGAGCGTCGAGCTTCGAGCCCTGAGCGTCGCCTAAATTCCTCGAAATCTCGAGAACTGCTTATCAGAACCTATCGATGTGGGGTCGGAAAATGTAGCTGACGATGAGATCCAGTGGGGGATTTGAGTGTTGAGCTTCTGGGAAAGCTTGGAAACTGTAAAATAGGCATCAACTCGGCTCCCCCCGGTGCACTACTATTAGAGAAAATACGGTAATTAGAAAAAAAGTCAAGTAAAATTTTATAAAAGTAAATATGTTAAAAAAAGGCTTTTGCAATTGGAAGACTATTTGGAAGACTATTTGGAAGACTATTTGGAAGACTATTTGGAAGACTATTTGGAAGACTATTTGGAAGACTGCAATTGGAAGACTGCAATTGGAAGACTGCAATTGGAAGACTGCAATTGGAAGACTGCAATTGGAAGACTGCAATTGGAAGACTGCAATTGGAAGACTGCAATTGGAAGACTGCAATTGGAAGACTGCAATTGGAAGACTGCAATTGGAAGACTATTTGGAAGACTGCAATTGGAAGACTGCAATTGGAAGACTGCAATTGGAAGACTGCAATTGGAAGACTGCAATTGGAAGACTGCAATTGGAAGACTGCAATTGGAAGACTGCAATTGGAAGACTGCAATTGGAAGACTGCAATTGGAAGACTGCAATTGGAAGACTGCAATTGGAAGACTGCAATTGGAAGACTGCAATTGGAAGACTGCAATTGGAAGACTGCAATTGGAAGACTGCAATTGGAAGACTGCAATTGGAAGACTGCAATTGGAAGACTATTTTCCACAATGTACCAACTTATACGAATGAACCTTGTAAATACAAAAGAAAAACTTCAAATAAACTCACTCATTCAACTGTAAAATATCAAAATATCAAAATATCAAAATTCCAAGGTTTCAAGGTTCCTGATGAGTTCAAAGACGTGACTGGGTACGATCGTCGAAATGATCAACTCGAGACTCAATCCAAATGGGAACACACCGACTATAAAGTAAGGAAATAAAAAGAGCTTAACTTACTCTTAACTTGCTTTACAATATTTGTATTAAGAGTTTTTCTTTTAGAAAAATCAAGCCAATGATTTCGCAGAGAAACAAGCCAACAAAAGACAACAAGCCAACAAAAGACAACAAAAGACAACAAGCCAACAAAAGACAACAAAAGACAACAAGCCAAGAAAAGACAACAAAAGACAACAATCCAACAAAAGACAACAAAAGACAACAAGCCAACAAGCCAATGTTCGCAGAAAAACAAGCTCAAAATGTCGCTGAACATTCAAGTTTTTTTGATTAATAAATAAATTTTGGTGAATTTTGAGTGAAAAATATGCATTTTTTGAAGTGACTTCACTGAAATCTATAACAATTAAACCCGTTTAAAGCCGTGAATCCATTCTTGAAGCAATTCCATCCATTCTTGAAGCAATTCTTGAAGCAATTCTTGAATCCTTTCTTGGAGCAGTTCTTGAATCCATTCTTGAGTCAATTCTTGAGTCAATTCTTGAAGCAATTCTGGATGTTCGGGATTGATCTCGAGGTGCTTCTTGCCTGCCATGTAACCCATCGTTGCTGAATCACGAAGAGCCTGAGCTTTCATGATCCTGAAATATAATTTCTGAAATATAATTCTTGAAGCAATTCTTGAATCCATTCTTGATTCAATTCTTGAATCCATTCTTGAATCCATTCTTGATTCAATTCTTGATTCAATTCTTGAATCCATTCTTGATTCAATTCTTGAATCCATTCTTGATTCAATTCTTGATTCAATTCTTGATTCAATTCTTGATTCAATTCTTGATTCAATTCTTGAATCCATTCTTGAATCCATTCTTGATTCAATTCTTGATTCAATTCTTGATTCAATTCTTGAGCCTTCTATGTTCTCCATTTGAAGAAGTTTTCTAAAGCACTCCAGATCTCTTGGAGCTGAGAGCATTTGAATTTTATATGCGGTCCGTCATCGGATTGGGAAGGGTAAATGGTAAATGGATGCAAAAATTAGATATAATGGTCTTGGTTTACATTTGAAAGCACAGAAAATCGAGGGCTCTCGATTTCAACGATTTCAGTGTTGCAGTTGGCGTTTTTTTAGGCAAATTATTGAATATTTATCTGTTTTCTTTTTTGATTTTTTACAAAAAATACCAACCATTTATGCAAATTCGAAAAAGAAAATGGAGGTTTTTAAATAAATATACAGTGATGAATGAAATGAAATGAAACACTTCTTTAAACAAAAAAAGAAAAGCACGCGGGACTTCGATTGGGTAAATGGTAATTGTATTGGTAAATGGTAATCGAATAATTGAATAATTGAATAATTGAATATTTTTAAACACACGAGAGGCATTTTAAGTCTGAAAAATTCGAATAAAAAAATATAAAAATTTTTTTTTTTTTTTGAAAGCAACCGAACGATGAGCAATAGAAATGTTTTTAGAAAAAAAAAAAAAAAAACAAAAATAGCCGATAGCCGATGGCCAGAATTAAAGAGAAAACCCAATTTCATGGCTTTCAATTTCAAACTTCACACAAAAAAAGAAAAAGAAAACGAAAAACCGATATTTGAATGTACCTGTGTAAGTGTGGTGGTGGAGAAAAATGAAGATTTTTGGGGAATTTTGGGGAATTTTGGGGGACTTTGGGGGATTTTAGGGGATTTCTAGTGACACTAGAAAGTGTAGAAGCGTTTGCGAAACGATTTTCAACAATTTTTCAACAATTTTCGAAAATTTGACCGCACCCGGAATCGAACCCGGATCACTCGCCTTGGAAACGGCGCCATAGACCACTCGGCCACGGGAACTTTATATGCAAATTTGAATCTGCAAATGCGAAAATTTGTTGTGCGTTCCAGGATTCATTTTGTTAAAGTCAGTTTTTAAAAATCTTACAACCCATGAAAGTTGCGGCTTTGCGAAGTTTTCAATCAAAAAATCTTTGTGCAATTTTCTTTTGTTTTCGCACTTTTCGATAAAAGTCGATAAAGTGTGCGGTCCAATTTGGTGAAATAACGAGAAATTTTCGAAATTCATAAAGGCTATCACCAAAAAATCGCGAGGAACTCAAAAATGGTGAAATCGCTTGACTGAAAATAGCTTGAATGATTGGGAACAAGGCTAGATTTTTAAAAGATTAAAAAATGACAAAAAAATTCACTTTTGAATAGGATAGATGATCGAAAATGTTTGAATATGAAGAGAATAAAGCAAAGAAAAAAAAAAACGACCGGCTGATGAAATGAAATGAGTCAAAGATTTTGAAAAAACATTAAAATTAAGCTTTTTTTTTTCTAAACAGTTTTGATCTTTTCTTTCTCTCTCTCTTATTTTCCCTTTTCTTTCAATTCTTTAACCGCTTTAATGTACGGAATTAAAGCGTTTAACGGCTTTGCTCGCGAGATGAATGGATGATTGAGGAGCTCTTTTGTGTCGGCTCGACATTCGGGATCGACGACAAGGCATCTAAAACAAGATCTTTCTTTTTTTTCAATCAAAATAGCAAATCCTGGAACGCACAGCTGCTTTTTAAGCGATTTTTGGAAAGAATCGAGATCTTTTTTTATTTTGAGTTGGTTCAATTACGCAACTTGTCACTTTTTTAAAAAATTTTAATTTTTCTATAAATAATTTCATTCATTACATTATGTGCCTTCCAGATTGATGAAATTTGAAATTCGGTAACTCACCTGTCCAAAAAGTGCACGAATTCAGGGCTCAACTCGTTCCGCTTCTTGATTTCCGGTTTCCCATTTTGAGCAATCAAGTAGATAGCCTGAAATTGAAGGCTGAAGCTTTCAAAAGCTTTCAAAAGAGTCGATTGTCATCCAGAATCACATCAAAAACCCACCTTTAACGGTGTTTCGTGTAGATACGGTGGCTCTCCATCAATCATCTCCAATCCCATAATACCCAATGACCAAATATCCACTTTATAGTTGTACTTTTTCTTGTTCAAAATCTCCGGTGACATCCAGTATGGCGTGCCGACGACTGTATCTCTGAAAATCTTAGGGTTCGACTTTGCAATCAAAGGGAACTCGCCCAAAGCCTCTCTGCCACTCACCGCTTGCTTCCCGGCTGTATCTGGGCACAGAAACCCATATCAGTCAACTTCACAGCACCATCCATTCCAAGCAAAACGTTGTCCGATTTGATGTCCCGATGGACGATCGAATGGCTGGAAACAATGATAGCAAGGCTTAGGCCTGAGCTTAAGCCTGAGTCTGAGTCTGAGTCTGAGCCTGAGTCTGAATCTGAGCCTGAGTCTGAGCCTGAGCTTGAACCTTAGCCTAAGCCTAAGCCTGAGCCTAAGCCTAGCCTGAGCCTGAGCTTAAACCTGAGCCTAAACCTGAGCCTAAACCTGAGCTTGAGCTAAGCCTAAGCCTAAGTGCCTTAGCTCCGGGAACTGGCTGAGATCCAGAAAATGGGGGTTCAGCCCAAACCCAAATAGACTTAATGCTAGGCGCTAGCCGCTAGCCTTCGCACTAAGTCCAAGCCTAAGCCTAGCCTGAGCCTGAGCCTGAGCTTGAACCTGAGCCTAAACCTGAGCTAAGCCTAAGCCTGAGCCTAAACTAGCCTTTACCCTAGCCAATCCAGAAAGGCCTAATTACTATTTTCTTTAGAAGTGACATCTAGAATGAAAGAATATCAATCAAAATTGACAATTCGCTACCTGTGCAAGAAGTGCAACGCTTTCAAACACTCCTTCAACACAGCTGAAATTTGTCCCTCGTCCAACTCGGTTTTCACAACCACATCCGTCAGGTTTCCGCCCTGAAAACTCGATCCTAGAACTCATAACAAAGCTCTATCTTACCTCCAAATAGTCCATGACCACCCAGAGATCATCAGCATCGACCAAATAGGACTCGATGTAGTTGACGAGGTTCTAAAGGGTAAAAAATGTTTTGAAAAACGAAATTTAGCCATTCTGGCATGCACAGAATTTATTGAGTTTCGATTTTTGTCATTTGGGATGATTTTGGGATTTCGGTGGAGAGCCAGGAACCGGATTAGGCCTAATATGTCGGGTAAACGGTAGCTAGAGTGACCAGCATTTTGATGATCTTTTCATTTTGGATGGCACAGAAGCTATTTTAAATATAAATTAGCTGCCTTATTTCGTTTTTGAAAATCTAGTACAATGTACAGCTAATGACACTTTCCTAATCTATCATCTCGACCTGTCGGCCGATTGTAATCAATTTATCAGTTTCTCTCAATTCCAAACTTTGAGAGACAATAGTCTTTCCAAAAATTGCCGAGAGGAAATTTTGTGAAAGAGAACCCATTTTACCCAGAAATTACCCAGAAATTTTTTTTTAATCTGTTTTCGCACTCAGGTGTTCCTATTTGGGCAGATCACAACCTGCTTTCACATTTCTCTATCCCTTGCTATTGTCATCCAGTGTTTCCTAGTTTGATTGTTCCTGGTTCGAAGTCTTCGACTTGCTGGTGCTGGTGGTGGTTGCACTGTAGCCATCCTTTCTCTGACCGTCTCTGCCACTCTTGTGCTCCACCTCGTTGCTGGTCTTCGATGGGCCTCTTCTGGTCTCGTGGTAGCCACTCTGTGATCCGTATCGTCCATCTGTCGTCTCTTCTTCTGGCTACGTGGCCGGCTCATCTGAGTCTTTTTCTCTCAATCACTTCCACTGGATCTCTGAGTCCCGAGAGCTGGCGCATATCCGTACTTCTTAGGTCTTGGTCGAGCTGCGTCTTGCTATTGTACCCGAGGAGGTTCCTTTCAAAGACTCGATGCGTTATTCTCAGGGCTCGTTCAGCGGTCGGTGTCGTGGCCCAGGTCTCTGTTTTTTTTTTACCCAGAAAATTCTCCGGAAACAATAGCAACTAAACCAACGCGATTTCTTGGCTCTATTTCCAGATTTTGTAAAGTTTATAAAGTTTTTTAGACGTTTTTAGACGATCTGGAGGTCATTCAAAAATTCCCTTTCTTTAAATTTCCAAATTTAAAGCTTTAAAACACAAATCACCAAGCAGCTACGGGTCGCGTAACTAAACCGGAGGAAAATTTACGACTCTAACTCCGTGAATCGAGCAAAAATCAACTTTTTACTCAAGCTGGATATCACAGAGCTCAAAAAAAACGAACCGGATGTTTGTACTGTTGCATGACTTTAATCTCCGTCAACGCATCCTCCTTTTTCGGTTGCGATTTGAATGCCATTCTGAAATTAAGTGATTTTTTTAGAGATTTTAGAGATCTAACTCCAGCAAAATAGCCTGTGACATCCAGGATCAACATTTTTAAAACCTAAGCCTAAGCGATTTTCTCAACTCACCTCTTCACGGCCACCACATCGCCACCATCTCGTCGCTGAGCCACGAACACGGTACCGGAAGCGCTGAAATGGTCAACTACACATTGATCTTAGCCAGAGGGGCCAGAAGCTA